CTAAATGATGATACTGGCTAATACTTCAATGTATCAATATTATAACTGTAACCATAAATAATAATTATAATATTAATGATACAAATTAATAGATAAATAAATAAATAGCTAATTTGAATTTTCATGAATGTATGATATAATAGGGACCATTTAAAAATATTGATGCAGACCTCAAACCTCAGACCCTAATATGGAAATAGGATGCCTGGTCTAACAAACTATAAAAGTATAACCACAGATTAAAAAAAATATCTAATGAATAAATAAATAGCCAGATAAATATAATTATTATATATACGTTTTATATAATATGTAATAACTAAATAAGAAATTAAAAGAATGTTAGATAATATGTAATAAGGCCCATCTCTATTTATTTAAATATTATTAACAATTTTCTTGATTTTAATAATAGAATACTGTGTATCTAACTTATAATAACTTATTATAGCAGCAGTTCTCAATCTTTTTAGTACCGCGACCCAAATTTCCCCCAAAAAATCTTTAGTAACCCACATGGTTTCACTTTTCAAAAAGTAGTTAAATAAAAAAAAAATTAATTTAAAATAATATAATATAATATATTTCAATTTTTTAACAAAATTTGTTTATTAGGTTTAAATTATTATTTTTATTATTGTATAGGTTTATAATCAATATATTCTTACAAATGTACTTTTATTAATAATAATATATTTAATATTAATTTAACATACATTTCTTGGAATCTGTATAATTTAAAAAATTGTTTGTGACCCACCAAAAATTGACCAACGACCCACCAAAAGGTCGCAACCCACAGTTTGAGAAACGCTGTATTATATTATTACATACTTATTAAATTTTCCAAAATATCACGTAACACTACAACATTTTATGGTTAAAACTCAATGAACGCTGAGAGAACATAGTTTTGATAGCAGGTACTTATGTTTTACATAATAGGATATGGCCGAATAGTTGCAACACAAAATATGATTACAAACTATGAGTACACATAAAAAAAAATTAAACTATGATGCTTTGTTTTATAAACCAAACATAATTATATTTAATACAAACAACATTATTTAACAAAATTATTTTAATTATAATAATAATAATATAAGTAATCATTTAGAGCAAACCTTAAACACAAAAATTCATTCAAACTTTAACAACATTTTATTGTTTATACATTTAATTTAAAAAATATAAGGAATGTTAGTAGTCACAATATTTTTCAAATTAAATTTGGATTACATTATTATTACTATTGTTATTTTTAACAAAAAATGATAGTTATATTTACATACCAAATAACTAATTTAAAAATCAACATTTCTAGCATTAAATTACATAGTACCTAATTGAATTAGCTCCTATTTTGTGTTACCTACCTAATTTATTCAACAAACGTTTAAATAAAGATGTTTTTTTTTAGTTTATGTTACCCTACTGTTTAAAAATAAATTACAAAATAAAATCGACAAATTTTTTTGGTAAAAATAATAATTTTTTATTTATGGAATAGTGAAAACATCCTAATAAAAAAGGGTAATATAAAAGAAAAATATATACTACTGGTCAACATTACTTACCTACTATCAACCAATTCATTTAAGTACTTCGAACATTACCAAAGAGATCAAAAATTATCAATAAAAATAATTTTAATATAATAAAACTAATAAAAGGACGGATTATAAAGACCTAAATATATTGATTTTCATAAGGAAAATATTAATGAAATAAGTACAAACATGTTGATCAAATTTTGCAAACTTTTGCCAATCAAGACATAACTTTCAATGTTGAAACATTTTCAATTTGTATAGCCACTACAAAAAAATATTTATAATATCAACATACTTCAATTACATAAATAAATAACTGATTGCAATTCACGATTTACAACATTACATAAATCAATTGTTAATTCTAAGACATTAAATATTGATAACGTTGTTGAATAAATGTAAGCAAGTTATCCACTTTAAATGTAAGATAAAATACATATCATAAGTATACATTAAATGATTTGAAGAACAAAGCTTTTCTATTGACATATTAATCATTATCAAATTAAACAAATTATTGCTATACCAGTCTAAAATTTTTAAATACTTAATTGAATGAAAATAAATTAAATATACCTTTTAACACTCATAACTTTAAAACAATTATTGAAGTATATATTTAAAATAATAAAATTTAAAAATTATGTTTTATTTTAAATTATAAAATACTTTTAGCTATTAAATTATTCAAAATACCTAATATCTACTTTAGCTTGATTGTAGTTGTCAAGAAATTATCTTTGTTGTAATATTTAAAAATTGTAATGCATAAAAAAATAATACTTTATTCTTTCTTCATATAAAATAAGAAATTATTAATCACAAAAAATTATGAGTCACCATTATTATCTAAAAATAATTTTAAAAATTTACTATTTATTGATTTTTACATTGTCTTATATTATAAAACTTAAATTGTTTATAAAATATGATAAAGAAAAGAATAAAATATCACTAATAATTAATACATTCAATTTTATTTAATGTACTTTAAGTCAATTGCAGTGGCGGTTTTTGACAGCTAGGCAAGTGAGGTGGCACATTACATAACATAAAAACAAATAATTTATAAATGTTATATTTTATACCTACTATTAATGTTCATTAAATTTCAAACATTTGAAATTATTAAATATTATTAAGCTAATAACTTTCTAACCTTTGAAAATATTTTATTTTACATAGAACAAACTATTTTTATTTTTTAAATAGGTAAGTGATTAATGTGTGAATTGGTATGTATTGAGTGTGCGCATAAATAACTATGAATGTGTTAAGTCATGGGTTAATTAAAAATAAAGGTTTTGCCACAAACACTAATTATAGACTACACAATAGAGCTAAATTAGTGAGTATGCAAATTATATGTGAATAAATACAAACACAAAAAAAAAGAGTAAAAAATGAACATGCAACTCACAAAATCAAAACTGGAAACTATTGAACGGTCTGGCTCATTAATAATTGGAAATATAAACTGGCAATATTACCGTTTATATTCAGTACAATATTAACTAAATTTATTAATTAGTATTTTATACACTTCTTAAACATTTTTTTTTTTTTTTTAAATAACCTAACTGCCAATCAATGTTAGAAATAAGATATTTGAGTGGCTTAACAGTTTCATTAAAACAAACATTAATTGAGCATATTATTTTCATGTTTTTATAAGTATAATTGTAATGGGCAAAAGTTTACGAATTCAATCTAATATTGATATTACCATACACATTTAGATGATTTATATTGGGATATAATATGTAATAACAAATAAAAAGGAATGTAAATTTAAAGTTATGACTTAAATACAATCATTGGAATATGATTTACAAGCAAAGCATGAGAAACATTGAAGAAAAACTTAATAAATCACAAAAAAAAATAAGAAACTTTACGTATTGAGTTGTATGAACATTAAAATTAATATTTATTTGGTACATATCTAATAGATTATAAAGCCATTAAGACTAGATAAGCTACCAAGAAAATGTTGATGAACTGACTAAAATATAATACAGAGTGGGGAAGTGAACAAACAATTTTAAAAATAAATTTTCTCAATAATATGAAAAAAATAATGATAATAATATTCTCTCATTAAATATTATTAGTTTAAAAATAATACACCATTTAATAAACAAAATTATGTTGTTGTAAAATTGTTTTAAAAAATAACAAAAGTTAGTTTCTGATTAGCATTCATGTTTCAATTTTTATCTTAAGTGGCATTATCTAATTTCAGGAAGATAAAAAATAATGGTAGTTATCTTAAGAAAATGATTATAAAAAATAAATGATAAATAATATACTTCATTCTAATATACTAATAATTAAATTTTATTTTAGAATTTATATGTTTGAAATTGGCCGTTTTAGTACCCCGCCCTGTATAATTTAAACATATATAACAAATATAGCTTGTTTAAGTTTAGTTTATATGTATTTTATATTTACTTTTAATTGTTAAAACAAATTTTTATATTAATTATTATTTTTTAGTCCATCCAATTATCTTGATATTTAATACATAGCTAAATATCTATCAACAAAAAAAAAATAGTTAACATTCCTTACTAAGCAAATTCTAAAACTATAAGCCATGCCATATTTTATTTTTGAGCAGTTTGTAAAATTCTATAAATCAAATGTTAATTACATTTTTTTTTAAACCATTAACTTTTGTTAACTGGTAAAAAAATTGTAGACTTATGAGAAATTGTAATAAAATCAGACTTTGAAAATTATTTACCTAATTGCTAGAAAAAACAAAGAACCAGTACATGGGTAATAACCAGGTATGCAGTCTGTAATCAGTAGTCATAATAACATTAAAAGATAATGAAGGTATATCAATTAATATATGTTATTGATTTAACTATAGGGATTCTTAAAAAATATGTCAATTACACAATAACTACAAGCTTTTAAGACTTAATAAAATAATATATTTATGGGAAAATTTGGATAATTTCTGAAAATATGCTTCAAAATAAGATGATAATATATTATAAAAAAAAAACAATACATACCTAGTCAAAGAAAATAGTTATCATTAAAATAAGTCTACTAAAATTTTAAAGTGGTAACCTTTATTTTATTTAAATGTTAATAGAACTGATAGAAATCTCTGAATATTGAATGAATAAATAATTAAGGAATACAAAAAAAGGTTTTGCATGCTATGCATAGACTAGAAATAAAATAATATTTATTATTACTTAATAGCACAAATATCTCTAATGCATTTGGAATTAAAAGCAGATATTAACTTTTTCATGCTTTATTTTTAATTCAATAAAATTTTAACATTTATAATTTAAACAACTTCAATTAATAATGCAGTTAAGAACATAAAAAACAATTTTTTCAATAGAAAAAAACCCTAATTATTATAAAGATGATAATCTTTCAAACAAATTGGAATTAATATTAATTGTTTTCTTTAATGATAAAATCAATTGACTAACAGGAATACATAAGATAATTAATGATAAATGATTATTTAAATTAATTTACACATGAAAACAATTTGGACAGATTAGTTTAACTTATTGCACATAATGGACTTGATTTCAACAAGAAAACATCTAGGATATTCTTTCTTGCTGATGTAATTTAATATTTTTATAAATTCTTATAAATAATTGTTTATAAAAAAAAAAATTAATTCAAAAATAAATTGTTTTCTCTTTCTAATATTACTAAATATGGTTTTTGTAATACCTTGAAATCAGGTAAACTATCCAAAATTCTTTGTGCTTCATGACTTACTGTTGCTATAGGAGAACTTGGACTTTCAATGGTGTCTGTTGAATGATTGTCGGATGATGGCGGTAATGATGCACTAAAAAACTCATCAAACACAACTATACTTTCAGGACTACTTTGAATGGGTATCTCTTCTTCTTTTTCTTCTTCTTCATTTTCTTCTTCTTTTTCTTCTTCTTCTTTCACAACCTCAGATGTTTTCCATGTTTTAGGCTGAACTAAAATTAATTAACACAAAACAGAATATTAAAATATACAAATAAAGTACAATTATTTATAGATATTAAGTTTATTGTAAAAAAGAAATATATATTACAAAATGTAATTTATTAATAGAGTATATGTATATGTTTTCAAAATAATATGTAAATTTTAGAATCAATATACAAGTATGTCAATTATGTATGTACATTTTCACGATATTATTGAAATTTATGTAAAAATAATTTTGAAGTACAACGATAAAGTAAGTCATAAAAATGGTATGCATTTAATAAAACCATAACAATATTAAGCAAATGTACACCTTTTTAAAATAATTGAGACAATTTATAATAATAATAGTATAAAAAATAAATTAATAATTTTTATAAATCAATAAGTTTGTAAAATATTATTATCTTTTATCATTGTTTTATTTTTTATAAGAAAAGTAATAACACTCAGTTATACAATTATTTACAATCAAAATATACACCTTAATATTTAAATTATTAGATTATAATTTTAAGGTATTAAAAATTATACCATAAACACTATTATAAAATAAACTACCTCAATTTTGTATGTAAAATCATATAACCTAACAGCAAAGCAATGCATAAATGCTTAGATTACTATACCTACATATGTTGTCAGTTTTACAAATGTACAATATAACAAAATTGCATTCAGCAAGATTTATTTTAAATTTTTAGCTCTCATATTAAAGTTAAATGGTCAATTAACTAGCTTAATGTTAAAACGTAATAACATTATAATTTTATCAGTACTTTTATGTTAATTTCTTGTGATATTTCTATTATTTATAACAAGTTTTTAGTATATAGAATAATAATTAAATAATATACAATTTGAAAATACTAATAACTTGCTTAAATTAAAATTACATAAAAACTTAAATATAAATACAGATAATGTTATTACCTTTAAATTTGATAATGAATCAATTCATTCCAATATTAAAGTCAGCAACTCAAAATTAATTCTATTATTGGTATATTATACAATTGTAAGATAAAAAGAAAACACATACTGGTATAGCACCTTAAGAATACTATTTTGTTACAAATTATTATACATTAAGCAAAAACAGAAATACTCACGAGCATTTGTACAGCATGGTGCAAGTGTATCAAGGAGTTCAAGATCGAGTAACGACGTATGATTACCTAATTAGCCCATAACAAATGCATATGTTTAGCTCCACCACCAAAGTTAATAATTATTTAAAGCATAATGAAATAGCAATTAGATTAGTAAAAAGCATTTATATCAGATATATTATCAGATTATTGAATAATAATTTTAAATATTTTCATATTCTTGACAAAATTTTTTTTTTATTAATTACTATTTCCTATTTTGACACTAATTTATTAATAAATACCACAATTTAAGGTATAATAGAAAATTATACTTTTTTACAGACACAGAAATTTTACTAGGATGTCAAAATATAGTTTAAAGAATAAATATATAACACAACTATGTAAATATTGTATACATTATACATAATAATTATTTACAAAAAGCCTCTTGTACTTTTTATAATTTACATGTAAATATTACACATATATTATTGAACGCACATAAAGTTATCCTATATAAATGTAAGAAAATAATTTTTAAAAATGTGTAAAATGTATACATAGAATAAAAAATAGTGAACAGCTGAAAATACAAAAAAAATCTTTATCTTAATAAAAATGTTTACCAATGCCAATAATTTAGAATGGTTAATTAATTTCCATCTATTATATCTTGTGGCTAGAAAAAGGATAAATAAAATAATTTAAAATTTTTTATAATTTAGTAGGTATAGTGATTAATATTAGACACCTCTTACCACAGCAAATTTCACTGAATAAAAATGTAGTTAAAAAGATTATTTAATTATTGTTAACCTATGATAATATAAATTATTTAAATATTTAATCATAGTTATGTGCATAAACATTAAATAAATAAAAATATAAATTTAAATACTAATTTTTATCTATATGTTATAAATTATTTTCAATGATTAAGTTTTAAGCTGACAATATCAAATTATTATAATATGAAAAATATAATATGATTAATAATTATCAGAATTTATTACATGATTTACAAAAAGTTTTAAATAATTTATTGTGCACATAGCTAATATTATATAAATAAGAAAGAAAATCCAAACACAAAATACAATTCTGATATTAATAGATATACCTATATCTACACCTTACATATTATTGTTAATAAAAAAAAAATAATGGATCAATTATTTATTTAACAGATAAAAAACGTATTATTTAAATTTATTTTAAAGTATTTTGAATAAATAAATGATTGTAAAAGTTATTATTTTAATGGTTTTCTGCACAATATTAATTTATTGATAGTAATTATATACTATTAAAAAGTAAAATTTCATTATTATTAATATATTTATTGTAATTGATAATCGCCAAAAGTTATTTTTATTATATTATAATATTTTGAAAATTTTTTCTAAATCTTTTTGAGTAATTTAATAGTTTTAATAAGTTTTTAATTTTTTGATGAATATCAATAAAAATTATTTGCTAGATCAAAATCCTTAAAAATTTATATTTTAGATTCCACAAAAGTTATTTCAATAAATGCATAAGCACATTTTAATTTTTTTGAATATGTATTTGAAGTTAGAATTTTGCCAAATTTCTTCAATATAACGAAAAATTGCAAACTATTATTTAATTAGAAATTTATAAAAACTTTTCTTTTTATATCTAAATTTTGAAAATTTAATACATGATTTATCATAAGCAGCTCATAATGAAACCATAAACTCTAAAAAATATATGGAAGCAATTATTTTTTATAGACATTCTAAGTTCAAATTTGAACAAAATTGCTCATTTAAACAATAAATAACAATATTAATTATTCCGTTATAATTTAAAAACATTATTAAAAGGAATTTAAAAATTTTATGTAAATTATATTTATATGAATTATACCAAGTACGAAATTTATGATTTATTATAAATAATTTATCTAAAAATATATATTTATACTTTAATCTATTTTTGATATTTAACCATATTTATAGAAAGATAAAATTAAATATTGAATTAATTAAATTGATATAATATGGTAAAAATGTATATTATTATAGTAATTAAATAGAACATTATCCAAGAAAAAAATTATACGAACGTACTATAATACTAAAAATTAAATAAATGACTTTAACAACTATACCAAAAAACATCCTATGATATAAGCTGAGAGACCATATCTGCTTAAAATTGTTTTTTGTATACAGTGATATAACATTAAATTCAAATCACAGCCATAAGTCACCAACTTGACACTTAACATACAGCAGAACAGTACCCATTTGCCTCTTTTTTTTTTTTTTAGATTATTTAGTATAATCAAGTATTTTTTAAATATTAAAATATTATAGTTGTTTTATTTTATTTGGTCCCAAGAAAGCATAGAGTATTTTACATTTTTACAGTTCCTCTAATTAATATTTATCTAATGTTAATACTTAAAAAAATTTAGTTTCTAGATTTATGAGTTTAAAAAGAAATTAAATTTAAAAAGATTTACAAAATTATTACTAGTATATGAATATTAATGAATTTTTAATAATTTTAAATTAAATTTTGAAAAAAAAAATGTTATCTCAAGGTTTTACAGTTTGTAGAATTTCCTGTAGGTACAGTTTAGATTTAAGACATCTATGGAATACTTACAGTCTAATGGATTTATTAAGCCACTGCTTTTCCAGTCGAATTCAGGGTCCGGTACTGTTTCCTTTATGATAATATATACAAAGTTTATTTAGCGTTCTAAGGATATTAATTTTATTAAGTGAAATTAAATTCACCTGCATTGGGCCATTGGAAAAAGATTGCGATATTTTTGTATCAATTGTGTCATTGTTAGAAGCTTTTAATGGTTCCAATGGATTGTTAGACATATTTGCGGCAAATCTAGGGACTTTTGGGTTCCAAGAAGCACCATACAACTGTCATATTCAAATCCAGTATTATTAAAATAACCGAAATATATACAATTAAATCATTAGTACAATTTTATAATGAGCTTACTATGTTTCTAGAATCAATTGAGAGTGAAGCAAGAAAAACATTATTTGATTCTGATTTGGTCCAATTATAGTTAAGGGCTGGACTTGAATCTACATCTTTTAAACCCTGCCATACTTGAGACTCATTTAACTCATCGTCTAAGTTTTGCAAATCGATTTCCTCGCATAACTCCTAATAAATAATAAATAATAGTAGAAAATGAAACATAAATAAATGTACAGAACCTCTCTAATCCGTCACCTTCGGGTCTGGGGGTGTGGTCGGAAAGTGAAAAAGGTTGGATTATCAAAATATACAGAACATTTTTTTATTTACATATTACATACAAGATTATATCAGAAATGTATTATATTTTACATTACTTAGAAAGAAAGTTATAGACTTTTGTTAAGCAAATAACGTTCTAGACTTAACTGCAATATTCCAAAATATGCACACCGATAGAAAAGATACGAGAGAGATCGGAGTACTAAAGCGGACAAGTGATAAGAGAAATATTAAACTAGCAATTAATTTTATATAATATCTTCTATAAAGTAGAAAATCCAAATTGTATTTTTAAATTACATAGTATTGATATCGATTATACTATGGTCGGATCAACCGGAGTGGCGGACCAGCCGAAGGCGAATGAGAGAGGTTCTACTGTATTAATAAATAAAAAAAGCTTACATAATCTCCTTGAAAAGCATCCTTACAAAATTGTTTATAATCAAGTTGAACATGTAACTCTGAATTTAATATTGCATAATTTTGTTTTGAATCTTTAACTTGATCACTTGTATGATGACATAGTGATGTAGTGTAACCAGATTCAAAATCACAGAAATTGTCATCATCAACATCATTGTTAATTAAATTATTTTGTTTATCAGATTTTGATATTGAATTATTAACATTGCTGGTTAAACATTGCACTTGTTCGACATTGGAATGTTTGAACTCTACTGTTGTATCATTAAAATTAGGTATACAAGTTTCATAGTTACAGAAATCATCATCATCGTCATTTTTATCACAAATTAATTTTTTATCGGTAAAATTTGAAAATACATGAAAATCAGAAAATTCATCAAATTCAGAACCTGAGTTATGCTCAACATTAATTTCATTATTTTGAAATGTTGAACAATTAGCACTAATTGATTCTACATTTTGTTCTATTTCATTTTCGACTAATGTTTCAGTATTTTTCAATATTTTACAGTGTTCATCATTAAACTGTGTTAAAGGTAATTTGTCAATATAATGTTGATCAACAGTTTGAGAATCTTCAATGATTTCATGATTTTCTTGGGATGTTCTATTTGGTAAAGGCACATTTAAAGTATGAGGCAAATTAGTTTCAAAATCACAAAAATCTGTATACTCTTCTTGATCATTTTTAATTATAATGTTATTATTATTATTAACTGATAAGTTATCAACTAATATTGCATACATATCATTAGGCGTATCAGTATCACTTACATCATTTTTTAAATTTTCTAATAAAACATTTTGAACACAATTGGTTTGATTAGACGATTCTTCAATGTCTACACATTCTAAACAACCATTAACTAATGTTTCTTGGTCAATTGATTTTTCAAAACTAACATTGGTTATAGGCTGAAATATCTCATTATTTTTATATACTTCAGATTTATTTAACTGAAGATCTAAATTAGTTAAATTTTGCGGTATTATATTACTTTTTACATTTTCCATGTCACAAATATATTGATCAGAAGTTACAGACAAGTCATCATCAATTACCTTTTTATTATTATCTATTATGTTTTCAGAAGATTCATTATGTTTGATCTCTGTATTACAGTCTATTTCATTAACATTATCAAGATCGTCAGTGGTTAATTTCTTTATATTTTCCCAAGAGATGTTTTTTTTATCTTTCCATATGGATAATTTGTTTTGATGTAAACTAGGTTGTTCTTCAGATAACGATGATTCCTTAGATAGGTCATTCTTTGAATTACTTGATGGCCATTTCGACAAACTGTCATTGGATTTTGGTACAATACAAGCATCTGGTTCACGAATGACATCACCATCGTAAGGAAGTGATAATTCGTCAATAGGATTCCATCCACCATCCGGACCTTAATGTATATGAAACGGAATGTTAGTCTCAACACTAACACCTGTAATTTAAAACACTTACTTAAACTAGACTCGGATGGCAATTCCAAGGCCAGATGAGGATAGTCCATGAAATCCTCATCATCTTCCCAGTCCAATTTAGTCATGGGAGGTGGCGTTTCAGGTATCAAAGGTGGTATGTCATCAGACATCTTAACTGGTAAACGTCATAATTATTATAATTTTTTTTATTGCACAAACGATTCAATTATTACGCGATGGTACTTACTGAAATTTTGGAACGGACATATCACGTACAACTAAAACTGTCAATAAACGGGAAAATACCCAGTGCGATGAAATTAGGTTTTATACTTCAGACCCGAATTTACAAAACTAAATTGCTTAAAACAAAAAACAAAAAAATTTAACAATTAAAACAACAAATAAGAATTCAAGTTTAACCAAGCCCGGAATTCTTGATGATTACGATTACTGAAGCACTAATCTGAAATTTCGATTATTGGATTGTAAATTGTAATCATTACGTGATAAAAATTATTATGTACTAACTGGAGATTCCATATATGAATGTAACCTTGGTCATAGTACTACATACGAGTGATTATGAATTTTATCAGAAAACGAATGATAATATTATCACAAAATAACAATATAATAATATTAATTATTAATTATTAATAATAATAGGTATTCTAATGATATCAAATAATAAACTTTAATTAAGTAATAACTAATCAGTATAGACATTAGACAATTGAACTATAGTGAAAACACTTAAACATCGAATAATTACAACAACAACATGTCTTTGTAAGTTTACAATTTTTTGATTACTGAATAAAATCTTAAAACAACTGTTTATCATTTGGAAATATTATATTCTGCTGCATTTTTGTACATAAAATGCAAATTTAATCATTAATTTCTTAATCTGCAATTTTTGGGATAATTCGCTGTTTTTATTTTTAAAAAGTTAAGCCTGAAAATTTAGTTTGTAATCACTAATCAGTTTGGAAAATATTTAATACTTTGATAAATAAATAAATTATAGTAATTAACTATGTTTAGTATAGCATTGTGTCACATAGCTATAACTATAAAACAATGTATTTTTAACGTATTTTAATGTACCTACTGAAAGATCATAATAATAAATTTAGTAGAGTAATTAAAAATAACTAAGTATAGTAGGATACTGTGATAATACAAAATAAATACAAGATTACAAATAATCATATATACTTAATAATTATTTATAAGACTTCTGTGTTGTGTTGTGTTTTTTTGTTTTTTTTGTCGTTTAAAAATTAATTCTAAAAGTGTTATAAAATAATATTCACAATTCTTACTTGATAATGTTTTTTTCGTACATTTTAAATTGTTATTTTTCCAAGATATTTTTTATTAATTCTTGAATTGGAGTAAAATATGGTTTCAACAAAATATATATTAAATATGTTTAGTATTAGTTGAATCCTTTATTGAATTATTTTAATTGGCAGTTATAACTTTTGATAATTTTGATAATCTTATTGAATATATTTAATTTTTAATTCATTTTTTCTTTAATTCTGACTCTTGTCTTTTAATACCATTATTTCAACTTATTACATAAATACATTCAAGTATCTATCTTATAATGTTATATGAGGAGGTAATTATATTTTAAACATACATTATCCATATTATTTTATAATTCTGTCTGTTAAAATTTACAATTATTATAAATTATAATATTAATTCACACAGGTCATAGGTACTGTTAAATTATATACCTAAGTTTAGAATTATTGAAAATTTAAAATTGGAAACATACTATTTTAATGTCAATATTATATATTTATATCATATATTTCACATTTTTACATTATACAATTATTTTGATGTAGGTTAAACTTCATTAATACATATTTTATTAAAATACTAATAAGTAGTAAGTAGTAATATTAGTCATGTTAAAATCAGTGGAATGCTGAAATAAGCTTTTTTGAGGCGATTGTCTCAAAACCAAAATGGATAGGTGCCAGGCAATAAATTTAGTGTGATAAAAAGTTTTTGATAGTAATACTTATACTAATAGCTTAAAAATAAAATATGTAGATTAAAAGTTGTAAGTGCATAGGTAGTCAAATGGTAGTCTACCTCAGGCCTGAAAATTGTTCAGTATACTACTGGTTAAAACTACTATATTTACAATTTTTTTTTTTGACTCTGGCTTCCTCGCTGTCCTTCAGTGTGGATATAATATAAAGGGCTATAAATATTATAACGACATAGCTTAAAATATGTAGTATTGCTATAATGCACTTATAATTTAATTAATCTAAATCAATACTTAAAATGACAATTTGGTTTGTAAGGATTTAAAATGTGTTAATAGTATAACTTTTTATTTAAAATCATTTAAAATTTTTATATTACAGTTTAAAATCACATTTTAATGTACTTGGATATCTGCCATATTTTTCAAAGCTTTATTAACAGCGACTAATAGTCGCTCAACTCTGTGTCTATCATCAACTATGTGTTCTTCTTCAACCAGCACTTGATCAATAGATCTATTAACTACATATGGAGTAAACACTAATTTATGCATATAATGGTCGATACTATTCAAAACATGATTGACCATCTTAAATATTATACGCTTGGGAACAAAATCTCGTACATTTTTCCTGACAAACTCAAAGTAACAGCGTGTTAAATTTTTATGCATTTTGACTTGTTTAGAAGATTCCATCGTTTTATCTAGATCATTAAGCCCGGATAATATTTGTTTAAATAATTGTTTAGTTCTTTCTTCTTCAGCCCTTGTAAATTCATCATTTGTTAAACCTTTTTTGTTTGTTACGTGTGTTGATATAAATGCATCCTGAATTACATCAGATGATTTAACTAGTTCTAAGATAAAATCTGGATTTGTTGTATTCAAACATGCCTGATAAGTTTCAATATAAGATCTTATAAATTCTTTGATGCTTTGTAATGTGTAATCTATCATTTGATTCAGCACCATTTTTACCTAAAATTGAATTAATGTTATTATTTAGTTTTTTATATAAAGCATAGATATATAATCATGATCTAGATACTTGACATATACATAAGTAATAATATTGTTTATTGTGCTAAACTATCAATTTATATCTACCTACCCACAAATTAAACATAATTGTTAATTGTAATATATATTATACAATGTGTTCCAAGTGGAAGTGACCAGCCCACGTCATACAAAAATATACCTAAAATAATGAAGAAATACCCCTTAAAGAGGGGGTCTAACTTTTTTATTTTCAAGTTATGGGCAATTTACCTTTTTTTAAACAAAACCGAACCTACCATGCATTTTTTATGTTTCTCCAAAACTTTTCAACACATAATTTTTTTTTTTTTAAGTTATTTAATTATTTTATCAATCAATATAGTAACTAAACCAGAATTAATGTGTTTTATTATTATTATCATTATTTATTTTTGTCTATGAATTCTGAAGATACTATTTATATTTGGTAGCAGATATAATGCTTTCATTTTCAATATTAAGTGTGTTTTCTATCAACAAATTGTATCTAGATGGTAATTATTGGAAGAACTTAAAGAAGAAAATACTCATTGTTTTTCAATCAAAAATTTTTTTTATAAATGTAAAGAAAAAACAGGAATATCTAAACAACACCAGTGTTGAACAAAAATAATTTTGTTACAATTATTATCTATTATAATCTTAAAACTAATAACCAAAAATACTTGAAATTTATTTATATTTGCAAATTTTTGATATAATAACATTTTTTAAATATTCTTGTTCTTTATACACTTTTGAAATTTTCATAAACAATTTTCTCCTTAAATTTTTTAACTTTTTTGCTTAATTTTTTTTATTTCTGAGTGTTTAAAATTTTGTTTATAATATATGTCAAAAAGCTTGGAAATTTATTATACATTTTCTAATGCATTTTTCTTAGAAAAATGCGGTTTTAAAAAAAATAGTTAATAGCAAATTAATTTTTAATGATAGTTTAAAATTAACGTTTTAACTAAATTAGATATTTAAACAAAAAATAATGATTTTAGCTTTTTTGTAAAAAGAACTACTTATATAACCAACAGACAATTTCAACATTCCATTATCGCCATAATTATAATTTCTAAAATATTTAGAACTAAGCCATTTATACTACAAATTACAAAATTCTACTTACATCAGTATTCAGTTTCGGAAATCTTTTGAGTGTATCCAAAATACTTTGATCAATAGATTCAAAAATCCTCAACATTTCAGCACCGACCAGATCAACACAAATCATTGCTGGTTCGATAAGATTTTGTAATTGTTTACCTACCATAATTTCTAATGCCTTCTCGTTAACAAATGAACTTTTGTTGGTTCCTGCTGAATTTAATAAAATGTTTCCAATCTTTTCATCAGTTAAATCAAGGAGCGGATCAATTTTATCTAATTTTTCTACGTATTCATTATGTATGATTTGAGAAATTTTTGCACCTCCCACAAGTGTGCTTTCAGATAAATCTTTTCTATTTCCAGCTACTGTATCGCAGTATGATTTACACACATCATTCAATAAACCTAAAACAAAAGAAACCTTCTGGTCTGGTGTTTTCAATGTTTTTAGTTGGTTTTCTAATCGATCTTTAGTGTCATATAATTCTTTACGCAAAATCGGGTACGTTTTTTTTATATGCATTAATAGTATATTCTGCAGAGTATTAGCTAGCATTTGATTGCCGTGTTTTTTGTAAATTTCAGGATAATTGGCTTTTAAAAACTCCTTCTCGGATTTCAAAGTTTCTTTCATGGATTTATTGTCAAAAATATCTTTTTGACTTCGATTTACAACTCCAATTATACCAAGCTTAATAGGGATTTTGTAACCACAAAGAAGTTCTATTGTATCTTGTATTGTGCCCTTATCAATAAGATCTAGCTTGGTTACTACAGCGACTGTCCTTGTTCCTTCTGGGTCGATATTTCTGGCAATCTTAAGACTTTCGCTAGTAGACGGATCTGTATTAGCAGTAACTACGGCCAAAATAATAGAATTTGGTTGTTTTACATATTTTAATATTAATTCTTGAATCCGTTCATCAATATCTTCGGGTTGGTCACCAACAGGAAGTTTGGTAATACCTGGCAAGTCAACAAAAGTTAGATCATATAACAGAGTATATACTTTTAATACAATTGGCTCATGTGTTATGCCGTTATTGTGACCAGCTAAATAATTTGTTCTATTTTCAATTTCCAAACGCACATCATCAAAATTTTGAAACACAGTGTTAGGTTTGTGTAAAAACCATGCCCATTCTTTTATTTTATCATTTTTTGTTATTTCTAACATTGATTCTCTATCTTCTTTATTATATCTTACTATTTGAAGAATTAATGGAGCACGAGTTACAATTCCAGTACCTCTTGGTAAGAATGATTTACCTACCAAACTCTCAAGGACTGAGCTTTTGCCAGAACTTTGAGATCCGACAACAACAATCTGAGGCAAATTAATTTTATGATCACCAATCACTGCAAAAACTTCTTGCAACTTGTTAATTGTATGAATTAAGGATTCCATAAGATTTTTTTAGCAAATTATGACGTGTAAATATAAGTATTTATGTAAGAAAAATTAAAATATATATTAATAATTTAATTGTGTCAATTATGTTTAGATGTACTTGTTGTAAATAAACTGTTATTAATAGCCATGGTTACTTATTACCTAATTACGCAGTGATTAGTGAATTTAAAAATTTTAAATACAAAAGTTAAGTGAGCCTACCACTCTGCTGTAGGTACCTACATCAGGTATCGTAGTGGATCACTTATGTGAGTGTCAAATTTGAATTAAATTATTTGTAAATGAAAAATGATTTTGAGTGTGTAGACAATTTCTTAGCTTATATCACTAGATTTATTTTTGTGATATGTTTTTTGATATAACTTAATTTGTTCTACTTTTAGTAGTACGGTAGGCTTATATATTTTTTTTATAGGATAATGTAGTTGTAGTATATAATTATTATAATGATATACATTTAAACCATATCATATAAATTATTTATTAAAGTCAAAACTTAATTTTATTTTTCTGTAAAACTCGTCAAACAAAAATACATAGATATATACATCTGTATTTATATTTTGAATCTATTTTTTTTTATAGAATATTATTTAAAATAAATCAAAATGTCATTGTGTATAGTAAAATTTATAATAATATAATATACACAAAAGTTTTAAGTTTCAACAAATAGTGTTTTCAAATTACCTATAACAATAGAATTATCTTCGTTTTTTTAAAAAACGAAATTAATTTATCAAAAAAAATAAAAATTAGTTATGCGCTTATGAATAGGTCAAAAATAATCTAAAGATTTTGAAAATTTTATTGTAAATAAAAAAAATTATGTTTATATTAATTAATGACAATTTTAAATACTTTTTATTATTATTATTTTTTTTAAATACAACAAAATATCAAAAAATGTTTGAGGAGAAGTAATTATTTTTCAGGTGAATATCGAATTTTGTAAAAATTTAAATTTGAAATCCTCATAAAAAATTACTTAGGCACTCGATAAATTTTTTTCTTATTAAAGTTGAAAAACTTATTAAGAATCTTATTTTAATTTTTCAAATTTTAGGTATAAAAACAAAACATTTCATAAATATTTCTAACCAGTGGTCGTTTAACAATTTTATTTGATCGAGCAAACCTTAAATATACCATACACCAATCCATCCATCCACTATTGTACAAATTTTATGTTACTAAATAAAATATCAGTTTGAATGAGTTATTAGTATTAACGTATATTAATATATAATATGTTATTTACTCATAATATATACATGTTTAAATAATAAATTACACACTAAGATATTTTATATATATAAAAATATTACTTATTATTAAAATATTATAGCAAGATATTATGTTTAATAAGTTCTACCTATTAATAAAATAAAGCAATCCACAGAAGATTTGATTTCATGACAACTTTGTCAATTACTTTTTCAAAGTTAATATCAGTTGAGCAAGATAGATCCAAATGTGAAATGTCTTTGCCAATCAGTTGAATTTATATTTCCTTGATTATGCGTGATACTTAATATATTTTGGCGTTTAGATTGATTTATAATAATAAAATCAAATGACAAGTCTAAATGATAGAATCAGTATTGAGACAAAGACAACCTCTCTTTACGTCTTGTTAGTTCTTATAAAATATTAAAATATTTCAAGAAAAATAATAAGTTATAGCTATTTTAAAATATGTCAGTATTATTAACGATAACCACCCCACTACCCACCTTAAATATGGATCGGTGCAAAGTCCCGGTCTTTTTGCATGTTTAAGTCACCTCTATTTCTAACCACAAAATAATAAAAATATTATATAACTTTAAATTTTTAATAATTTTTAATAGAAAAATATACAACTTACTTATGTAGAGATTTGTATTGGATTTTCAAACATTATACCCAACGAACAATTTTTAATCGACATTAATAAGAAAGAAAACTAAAAAAGGTTCTGTGATCTCCAAAGCTCTAACTAGATTGAATTTGCTATCAGAAACCATTCCCAAAGTTGATAATCAAAGAATTTTTTTCTTGTCAAAAGCTGATGACAGTAAAATAAAAAACATACACATATATTACAGTCGAATTCGTTTATAACGATGCCGTTTACAACGATATTCCGGGTAAAACGATTCCAAGCAATGTATTTGGTTGGTTTTATATCTTATGTATTGTTACATTTTATAATCCGGATATAACGAAGTTCGGTTATAATGATCAGATTCTTTTGGTCCCTAGAAGATCGTAATGAGCGAATTTGACTGTATTGTAAAATCAATACTTTTATTTCTCTACTCAGAATCTAAAAGAGTAGGCATGTATATGCCTGTCAGTATTTTTTTTTTAGTTTCATTTCTCTTCAATCATCAATTAAACAAAACAAAAAATCGTTTGGTTACGTCACCTCCATAAAAACACGGTTAATGATATATTATAACAAAAGCCTATCGCTTATCAGTTATCAGAATACGATAAAAACACTTAGCACAACAGCGATGTAGCTATGAACCAAGATTTAAATTTCAGGTTTTCGTGATATTTAGTCTGTGGCCTGTACTATAAATTTATTTGTATTGTAATAACTAATAAGTATTAGGCAAATGTAATGTCTAATATCCGCATTATCCATGCATTTCTCATTGAGTATTTCATGTTTGTGTCAAATTCATACATGATAACATTATCATTGCTTAAGACTACTTTTACGTTCAACATTGATAATATTTATTTTATAATGATTATATAGGACTGCCGATAGTGTATCACATAGTATGATTGTATACTTAATATATAGCTAATTTTCGCCCAAAATAAAGAATTTATTTTCCTTTTCGATTCATACTTCTTGTTAATACTTTTTACGTAATTGTAGATACATCACAATTTAATAAATTACGAGTTGGTTACTCCCCTCTTCGTCGTGAAATAAGCTGAAACAAACTAAAAATGGAGTCAGATAAATATATTACGATTGTTCCTGTTGAGTATCCTCGAAACAGGCAACAATTTATACGGCCTCCCGATGAATACAGGTATTAATATGATGTTAATTTTTTATTAATATTAATATAGCATGTAGTCTATTCTGTGATTACTATTTATACTTATACTAATTTGGATTTTTATTTGAACTAGTGATTTTCCTCAAAACCGGAATTGGCCTCATACGAGAGCGGTAAGAACTGAATCAAGTACTATGCGAAGAAAAGAACTCAAACGATCATTGGAACACAAAAGATCTCACAATCATTCTCTTAATGATCCTATACAATTGTGTTCTAAGCCAATAATAAGTGCTCCCCTTGCATTTCAAACCGCCCCAAAGCCAAAAAAAAACCGTGAGTATTGTAATTATAATACTTTTAATTATCTACTATATCTCTATGATTTATGATTATCTCACTGTAGCTTACATAATTTATTTTGGGCACCCTAAAATAGAACTATGGTGCATATTTTTGTTATTATATAATAATTGTATCACCTGTTAAATTTATAATTTATAAAATTACCAATTTTAATAAAAAGCCTAAAATTTATTTTAAAAACTGTCATATTATAACTTTTTTTAATAGTTTTAAAATATATTCTAATTTATTTAAATGTTTAAAATAAACAGTACTTAATATTTATTGTTTATAGCGCTAAGTGTATATATTTATACAATGGCTGACATAGTCTTACATATGGATATAGAAGATGCAAACACAACTACAATATCAGATCTTGTTGATATTATAATACAGCAAAAAAATTTAGGATTATCAAGAATTGCTAAGAATATTTTTACAATTTGGATGAAATCAAATGTTTTAGGTAATTATCAAATGTATAATAAAATTTACTAAAATGTTATTACTTCTGTTTTTTCCTTCAGAAATTCAATTAAAACCACATCATAAATTATTGACAGTTTTTCAAAAATGGTCCTCACTTGAAGAAAAATATTGCATTCAAACTAAAAAAATTATTTTTAAAGAACCCATTTTAAGTTTTCAAAGAAATGTGTTCTTTCCTAGAAAAGATGAAGAAAAAATTAAGTAAGTATACATTTATAAACAAAAAAATATTAATTAAAGTTACATTTGTTAAAGGGATCAAAAAATTATTGAGTTGTTGTACGCCGAAGCTAAATATAATGTATTACAAGGTCGGTACCCTGTTGAAGTTAACCACTGTTTAATGTTGGCTAGTTTGCAGTGCCGAATAGAATTAGGTCCAAATAATTTACAACAGTACACCTCAAGTTTTTTTAGGTAACCTGTATCAAAATTCTAAGTATTATGTGAAATAAAAAAATTTTATTTTTTATTTTTTATTAACTTTATAGAGATAACCGGGAAAGATTTTTACCTTCCCATTTATACAAAAGCTGGTCATCATGGTTAAATCTTGATAGAAAAAGTACACCTCATTCTCGGCTTGCAGACCATTTAAAACATATACAGATAACTGGATCTGATCGTAGACTTTACCACAAGTATTTAGAATGCTGTTACATGCTACCATTTTATGGGTGAGAATTATACATGTTTACTTTTTTTAAATCACTAAAACGTATCCAAATTCTTATTTAGATAAAAAAAAAAAAACTCATTTATAACATGATTTTACTCTGAAGAGAACACCATACTTGCATATGTTGTTTCTGTTTTATAATTTATAAACTTGTAAAAAATTCATGAGAAAACAGATAGTATTCTTTTATTTAAGTTTGATTATATTATATCAATACAAATTTATTATCAAATTATTAAATTTATTATTAAATCACTACATACATTTAAAACTATTGAACATAAATTCACTATTATTTCCATCTCTACCTTACTTATATAACATCATATAACATATTATAATATAGTAGAATCTCAATAACTCAAATTTCAAGAGAGATATAAATTAGTTCAATCACATTACTCATTTTTTTTTAAACTACAAACTAATTCAAGTTAGATATTAATATTTGTATATTAATTAATAGAGCTCGAAAGTTGATGTATTTTGCATTTTTTTTTTGGAACTTTTTAGACGATGCTCTCCTAGCCACAAATCTGTTTCATAAGCATGTGAATCTAAATAACTAATTTTTATTTTGCATTTTTTGGTGTTTATTACTTTTTTAGTCATTTTTTGAGATTTTTAGGTCATTTTCCCACATTTTTAGTTATTTTTACTGATTTCACACTAGTTCATTTCTTATCGTTTCTTGTTGACCATTATGCCGATAACTTAAACCACAGACATTTATAAAACAAATATTTTTAATTTTTTAATTTTCCTATTTTAAGGACATTTTTGTCATTTTTATGTCATATTTTGAATTTTATAGTAAAATAGAGTAAAATATTTAAAAAAAAATGTATTTTTATTAATATTTGTAATTTTTTAGGACATTTTTTGCCATTTCTGTGATCATTTTTTATTGTTTTTAAGGTCATCAACTTCCGAGTCCTATTAATTAACTATAATTACAATTAAAAGATTGCATTTAAAAACTAATTTCTTATATATATATATATTAATTAATTAAAAATTTATTTGAAGATTTTTACAAAAAAACTTTGTTGTTCCTACTTTTTTGGTTACTTAACCAACATTGATTAGCTTTAAATTGTTGTGATCAAGTTTAGATGTAAAGAATTGAACTATCTTTTTTAAAATTGGTAAATTTATTGGAATGTTTAAATATCTACATTGAATAAATCAATTGAGTAAACTAACCTCTATATTGAGATACTCAGAAATCTTTATTCTTTTCATTAATCCTTTATTAGTTTTGTACTTTCTTAAAGTATTTTCTTTATTTTTTAGAATGGTTTAAAGTGTAATTGGTAGAATATTAAATTGCTTGACAATTTCATTTTTAAGTTAACCACTTTTAGTCACCGCCACCTCACTTATTATATTTATTTTTTTAGAAATTGTTAATGCAACTAATTTACATTTAAGAGATATAAGTACATATTGTACACACTACACAACTAAGATTATTTTATAATACAATAATTCATAGTAATAGTTTCATTTGTACATATATGATTATAAACTAGTTATTCTAATGATAAAATTTAAAATATGACTTAGTTATCTATGCTCAACTATTTTTATGTTTGACTTATCACGACAAATTAATACATTGAGTGTACAAGAATTTTTCTGAGACAAAAAAAAAAATTTAAGTTATTGAGACTCGACTGTATATTATATATACAGTATATATATGTTGTACGTTCAGTATAATCTATTTTACTCTGTTTTTTTTTACATTTTAGTGTGTATTAATTTATTATTAAATTTAAAAGTAAAAATATTATTTAAGGATCTATGTATGCTTTTTATAATATTTTAATTTTAAAGCAAGTTATAAATATTTTAAAATCATCATTACTACTAATATCATGTTTAATTTATAATTAGAACACAATAATAATCTTATGCGTAGTCCTTTATTTTAAACTTTAAATTTATTATGATAATAAGTAAATAGATTAATCTAAATCTAAAATACATGTTATGTAAAAATTAAGACAACACACATTTGGGTACAACATCCCCTTAACTAGTGTCTATATAGTTCATCCTACTATCTATTATCATTTAAAGCTCTATTCAGAGCTTTTGAACTTTTTTTTATATTTGAGCCAAACATTATAAAATCTTAACAAACCTATGTCTACTGACAATTGTTTTGCTATAGGTCCAATTATTATTAGCCAAATTTACATTCATTCTAATACGGCTGCTGTAGTATTACTATAATTTCCCCATTTTGTTCTATGTTTAATTATTGTTCATCAAAAATAAACATTTTATTTTTTTAATTGATTTCAAATTTTTAACTATGAATTAAAAATGTTTAGGTGTGCTTTTTTCCATGGTCAAATTGAACAACCTGTTCGAGGTTTGATGTCTTTAATTAACCATAAAGATATTCCTATTTATATTGCAGTCAACACCGAAGGAGTTTATATTTTAGATTGTGTGGAAAATGTAATTTATTTCAAAGTTAAATACCTGTGATAACAGATAGGTTTTCTAATTTTTAAATTAATCATTATAGAGTTTGTTGTTGGGCCTTAAGTATCAAGATTTTTCTTGGGAATTTGCTAAGCCATCCCAAGAAGATAATGATCATTGTTTACCGTGTATATTTCTACAGTTTTTAGTATTAGAAAATGGAACAAGAGTTTCAAAAATTTTACAAGTATTTTCTAAACAAGTAAATATAAGTTTTAACATGTAATTGCTATTTCATAATACATAAATCATTAAGTTGATTTTTAAAATACCCTGTTTTTAGGCTGTTATGATAGATGCTCTAATTGCATGCTTTGTCGAAGATTTTAGACACAAATTAGCTATGAATGAATATGACGATGTAGACAGAACTGGCGGCTTTGAACATATTTCTGTTGGAGATGGTAATCAATTTAATTAATTGTATATAAAATATTTTTATTTAATATGTTATTTATAGGATCTCAAATACCTTTGGCACATTTGTTTCGCAGTGAACCACAATCTCGATTATGTAATAAACTAAATAAGTTGACACTTGCTACATTCGACGAAGACGGTATGTTAGTTTATAATAATTGTCTATGTTATACAGATTATCTTTTTATAGTTTGTTAGCATGTACTCATCATTTAGAAAGTTGTTAATACCATAATTTATTTTTATCATTCACATTTCACAATCATGCATGATTTGTAGGCTATTTATGAATTTAATCTACTGCATTGGACTAAAGTAAGTTTTTAATGATTTTTAATTAAGCTTTGTTACTAATGTTGTTCCGTTCAAGATTTAGATTTAACTAAATTATTAACTGTATTATCATACATTAAATAAAATAAAATATGCAAAGCTAATGCAATCATTTATTACATATTTTAGTTTGGATTTGGCTTACTAGTGGCGCATTAATGTAAGACAAGGTGAGAAATAAGTATCTACTCATTTCCTGCCACCATGCACCACTAGTGAGTCAGATCAAATTAAAATAATTACATTGGCGTTGCCATTGATTATTTATTATTATAGTATTTATAATCAATTATGTTACCTAGCTTTAGTGGTTATCCATTATTCAATCTATGGTATTACTTATAAATAATTATCAACTGTTATACAATAAAATAGTGTATTCATACATTTTTAAGCGAGTCCAACCATATCTTAATTAATCTCATTAACTAGTTAAAATAACTTTTAGCATTAATTCTGTAACTTTATTGCCTAAGAAATAAGTTGACTAATCCAAAATTTATAATTACACAATAAATAAAAAATATTTATTATATTTTACCACCATAAAAAATAAACAAAACAAAAATAATTACTTCAAGCTATGCTGCATGACTAATAATTCATACATTTTATCAAACATTATCTATATCAGTAATTATCAATTGTCTCAACTATTAACGGTTTTCTAATAAACTTAATTCAGTTATTGTGACTCAGTTAAAGTTAACAATACATTGTATTATTTCTAGACATTTTTTTATTTAATAAAATCAAATTGATATAAACAAATTTGTTCAAAAAAATATTAAGTGTTCAGCATATAAAAGGAAAACACATATATTTTCTTATTAAACATCTGGAATTTACCATGAAAATGACAAAATAGACTATAGTATTTAAAAATAATAAATGAGTATGTGAAACACAAATCAATGATGAAACAGATATTTTGGAAATTTAACCTAACCGCTGTGTAGAGTTAGTTTGTTGGCATATCCTTCATGCATTTAGTTTTATATAGCTAACCTATTTATATTATTTTCTTGCAAATTAAAAAATTATCTTGAAAAATGTAAACCCATGGTAATCTATAAAAAAATTGAGTCAAATATTGAAATAATTAATAAAATACTATAAATAGTGGTTATGACCAATAATTTTCAGTATATAATTTTTTATTTATTTGTTCATTTTAACTTTTATAACTATTAATCATTTTGTTTTTGTACCTATATTAATACAAAACTTTTAAATTGGAAATAATTATAAATTAATTACATATATACATATATTATTTATAAAATAAAAATTCTTCATTGAACTATCAAAGTGAGTAAACATATACTAGTGACATCATTCATTTCAGTAAAACTATGTATAGATAAATACATTTTATTTCAATCATATTACACAAAAGATAATAACATAATATGCATTTATTTTTTTTTTTTTATAGGTCATTGTATTGGACAAATGGGATCTTGGTCATTCAGCTACTAAAAGTGGATGCTTAATATATTTTTTTCTATAGATCTCTATATAGCCATCAAATTTTTTTTTTAAATCACTTATCTTTTGTTTCTTATCATTGAATACTATTGTATCAAGATATAATACTTTTGGTTACCTTTACCTAGTCAATTTTACTTGTATTTTTATTTAAATCTTAAATAGGTTAATATTGTTTTAGTTAGTATAATATGTATTTGTATTAAATTTTCTTTAATCTTCATTATCAAGAATTTGATAACAAACATTTTAATGTCTATGCTGCGCAAACTATTAAAATTCTATTTTCAAAATAATGTAATATATTTTTCAGTCAGAGTTTATTTTGTTCTTAGTATCGGGTATTATAAATTATTTGTAAATTTTTTAAATTTTTTTTGATAAAATTACCAACTTTAAAGAGATACAATGTTTTCTGTCAATATAGTACTTATTTACTTAGGTTGCTTATGTATTTTTTTTTAAAAGTTATTAATTGCGATACAAAACTCTACTCTATTCTTCTATTTATTATAAAAAACAACCCAGATAATTGATTTGTATGTCTTTTGATCTAGCATTATTTTGTTGTTCTATATATTAACTACTTATGATTAATTTAAAAAAATAGTTGTGAGAGATTGGCATGTCACTGTCAAAAACCTGTTAATCCTGTATTAAATACAGTTTATCATTACAAATATAAAACTATTATTCACTTATATATTTAATTTAATATATCTATTACAAAATTTTTCATCTAATCTTTTTAGTTGTCAAAATTATTTCTCCTACGAAGTTAGTATGATAAATATTTATAAGTGTAATTTAATAAATATTTAATAACCATACTTATAATTCAAGATGTTATAAAATTACATTATTATTATTATTATTATTATTTTCTTGTGGCATTATAACTGTGATAGAAACATCCACCAAATTATTATTTATTACAATCATACACAACTTGTGTGTTATTACTACTTGTACAGTACAGTTGTATATATAGTACTTTTTTTGAAAAGTTTGTGTATTATCTAAAATTAAGTTTTTGGAACAAAAATTTAAAAAAATTAGAATTATTACTAAAAAAAAATGTAAATAAGTAATTTATTGACTAAAACTATGTATTAAATAAAGTAAAAAAAAACCATTGAAATTTTCATTATCTACGCTTGACTGAACAAGTTTATAATCTGGGTAATGTGTAATTTTACTAATGTTGCATAAAAAAATTGGGTAGTATCATAATGTCCACGAGGCCAAGAAATGCACAAATTACTTAATAACCCTAATTTATCACTATTCTAATTTTTTTGAAAGATTATTTCTAATAATTTAATTACATATATCATATGTGTTTTATATTATTAACACTAAAGGCAATGTGTTAATATAATATTATTATAGAAGTTATGAATTGTAATTTAAATGTACTAATTTCTAAAATTTGAAAAAAATAATAGCATATACAGACAACAGGATTTATTAATTTATTTAAGAAGTTCAATAATTCAATTTTCCATTTACTACCGTTTGGTATAAAACACGATGCTTCCTAAACTTGTTAATTTTTTTATTATTTTGTTATTGATCTAAATAGTGATATTATTAATACTAATATATGATTTATTTACAGGTATCATAAAATTCTAATAAATGAATTGTATGTTTTAAGTTTAAAATGTAGTATATGTAGATATAATAACTAGTGTTAAATAAGTAGTAAATACATCAATATTCTTTAAAATAATTGTTTTTTTATTTAAAAATTTAATTCTTTCATGTTAAATGTTAAAATTATAAATATTATGTTTTATAAAGATAAATATTCTTGATTAAGATGCCGCTTTTATTCCATGTTTGAATTGACGACACTGCGGCAACTACTTTTATGATTAATGCCATTAATATACTAATTTAAATTTAAAATATTACATACTATTGTGTAAAATTAGTTAATTTTTATGAATATTTATTTTTTAAAGAAATTTAATAAATTGTACGTTAAATAAGTAAATAAGTATTAACATTAAAACATAGATGTATAATATACAATAGATAGATCATTCATATATCAAAAACAGCAAGGGTAATGTTCCTGAATAAAGAAAAGAAACGTCAGTATAAGAAGTATATCTTCTGTCCTACTTAGAAAAAAAAAAAATGATTTATATTCTATGAATTATTAGTTTACATTATTATTGTTGTCACAAATCAGAGAATAGATTGATCCTTGAATAATGCTTTATACTTTGTCCTATGAATTCAAAATTATAATTATGAATTTCTGTTTGCCAAATGTTCCAAGTTACCATTCCAAAAATATATTTAATGCATTAAATTAAGCAATAAAAACCTACAACCAGTCTACCTAGATAAAAAGATATATGTGCAGATATTGTGATCATTGTTTAAATCATATGTATTTTTTTTTTTTTTTTTTTACTAATTATGGTGTTCTTGATGAAATGCATTTTATGGTTTCTGAAAGTGATTAAAAAAAAATTTCATTTTATTTATAAGTATTTCTAGTAACTTCTTTGTCATTTTAATAATTTCACTTTGTGTTTATAATATTCCAAAAAATGAAGAATAGTAATACCTAGTGGCAGAACTCTTTATTTGAACCTCAAGATTAATAAATGTTATTTATATTATTCATGAATAAATCATAAAGTAATGTCATATAATTGGCAGAGCTAAATCGTCATATTCATGACAGTAATTATGAGTTATTAGGTTTTTAACAATGCTATTTGATTTATAAGACATTCGATTTGTATAAATATTGTTTTCATTAACAATAGCGCCAAAAGTTTCATAAATATTTAACAACCTTAAAATTCAATAATTGGATAACGTATCTTTTGTTAAAAGTACCTTAATTTAAAAAAAAATAATATATTTAAAGTATCTCTTAATGTGTATAGTTAAGATTCTTTAGCATTCCTACCTAATAAATAAGAATTTTTATAAATTTTAGCATGAAAAATGTATTCTTTCATATTCATATATTTCCTTTTATTAAAATAGATTTTTGAAAATTTTTTCGACATTTCGTCACAAACTACCAATGGAATAGGAATTATCAAATTCTCAATTTTCTTTCTACTTCAGAATAATTGTTAAGTTGGTACTTCTTTACTTCTTCTGATCCTGTATTAGCAAATTAGGCACATTATTTTTGACATAATGGCAAGATAAAAATCTAAAAGTTTTAATTAACAAAAAATATTTGATTTGAAAATGCTCTAATTAAATTTTATTTTACAATAATTTTGATTCTATAATATTTTTTTGTGTTTCAGATTTTGGTAGCAAGATTAATTTGTATTACAATGTTTTATTTTCTGTACGATTGTTTTGATTAGTTTTATAGTAGAACTAATGTTTTATGTTCAACTTAAATTGCAGTTTCTGATAACAAATTAAACCTGTTTGGTAACTTGATATATTTGATAGATTAAAAGTGAAAATTTACAGTATTTTACAATATAATCAATAAAAAACAGAAAATAAGTTTGGGAAAGATAGACATTTTCATGCAAAACAAGATTTGTTTCAATAGGATATATGCATTAATTAATTTTTATATCTCTAAAACAGATATGCTATTTATTAACATAACTTTCATTTTATAGTGTAAAACTAATAGAATTTAATTATTTGAACTAAAAAATTTCTTAAATAAGCTTATATCATACATGCCTAAGATTTACGATTATTAAAATTATTTATGTGCATTGTAAACCTATGAACTATTAAAATTATGACTGATTATGTAAAAATTCAATTAATTCATCTTAGTGGTTAAGTGTAGATAGTCATGAAACTATGAAAGATGTTCTCGGAAATGCAAAAAATCCACATGATTGAATGAAAATGTAGAGTAAAAAATTAAATTACACATTTATAATAAGATCAAGTAAAAACATTTAAATTTATTTTATCGCCAAAATTATGTTACTTACATAAATCATTTAGTCAAATTAAAAATGTATATGTATATATAATAATATACATATATTTATGGTTCAAAGTCTTCCTTATCATAAATATTGTTAATAAAATGAATATCGTTTAATCCTTCTCGGTTTCTTGCCAGTTCAATAGCATAAAACTGTATTCTTATAACTATAAAGCTGTTGCTTTCACTATAATCTCCATGTACATCCTTTCTGATTAACGTGCCAAAATTGTAGTTTTCCATATTCTTATAGAGATCACAGAATCTCCTCCATTTCTAAAAAAAAAACAAAAATACAATTCTAAACTTTAGTGATGTATAATAATAAAATCAAGAAACATAACATAATATTATTACAATATTTATACATCAAAATATTTTATGTTTAATTGTAAAATTTTAAATACTTACAATTTTAGATGAATCATTTTTCACATCCTCTTCATCAAGAACTTCTATTTGAAGATCGGGAAATAATCGTCTAAATTCTTTATAAATTTTTTCGTCATGAGGAGTCAATTTTAATAACTTTGGATCAACAGAACATATCAACTGAAATCAAAGAAATATTATTTAATAAATATATAATTTTACTAATATACTAAAATTATTTTTATAATGAAAAATCATTTATATTATATTATTCAATATATATTAATTTGAAAGTTTTTAATTAATATAATAAGTATATTATTGAAGTTCAATATAATTAATATTAAACCATGACTCACTTAACATATTGGTTTTTAGTTAATGTAAAAATAAAAATTTAGTATACTTACATTAAAATATATTTCTGCATGCTCGTATGCTTTGATGGCCCACATCATTTCAACTTTTCCCTACAAACACAAATATAAAATTAAAAAAATTCACTTAAATACAAAGAAGAATTAATACTTGCATCATTTCCATACTCATCAGCAGGTCTTGAAAGTAAGCTAGCCCCTGTAGAAAGTTCTGCAGCTCCCTGTAAACATAATATTTACATTAAATTAATAATAATTAATACTATTATAAACTTTAAAAATGAATCTATTTCTCAGAAATTTTATTATAGTAGTAGATAAAACTAGTAATTATGATACGTAATAAATAGGGTTAGAATTTAAATGCTATAAAAAAACACAAAATATGCTGAAAAGCAATAAAAATGTTAAAATGTGCTTATATATATATACATACAGTAAAACCTGTCCTGTGCAGAATTGCACAAGACCAAAAAAAATTTCCATTTTAAGCAGATTTCCATCTAACTGAATAAAAAGGAAAATTCCGTACTATATATTATCAATATTCTGCATGATTAAGATTTAAGTTTATAACATTTTTCAGTCAATAATAAAAATTAAAATGTTGAAAATTAATAAATATCAGACTACAATAAATTTTAATTTTTAGTAAACAATTACATAATATGTATCAATTAGATATTTCAAAATAATGGTAAATTCAGTTCCAAAATTTAAAGGACATAATATTTAGTAGGTATTAATCAAATAATAATATAACAAAATAATGCAAACAGATTAAAATATAATTAAAAATTCCAAAATTTGTGTAAAGTTTTGTTCAGTTTTTTCTTTAACAATTAATAACTTTCATTTTTTGATTTAAACTTTAACATATCTTTAAAGATATTATAAGAACAAGTAAGATGAGACGAAAGACAGGAAAACTACAACTATATAGGGTGACAATAATGAGCACCGATGATATAGATTCAAGATAAAATGTAGTTATCTATCGACACGTATTAATATTGCTGACCTTAGTAATTGTTTAATAACAAAATAAATGTGGGTACCAAGAATATTTTTGTTCATTTTATGATATGTTTTTCCGTTTGTTAAAGGTATATAGGATTTACGAGACACGAGACCAAAAAAGGCTTTCCATTTTACATTAAATAGGTTCTGTTTAATCAAGGGTCTGTAAGAGACAGGTATTACTGTACCGAAAAAATATACTTAATTTGGACATATAAAACATAATTGCGATAGTTAATAGACTACAAGCAATAAATAATATCAAACATTTTTGTAAACAAACAATAAAATTAAGAATGAATAATAAGAAAAAAATATATATAAAATAAATTAATATATTATCAAGAAAATTTTACAAAAAGCTTAGCTGTATGATGAAAAATATTGAAATATTAATATATACTATAATCATTAAATCTCCAAATATGTATGAAATAAAAATGCATGTTTTTAATCTCCAGTCTGTGAAGATTTCTTTTTTGGTAAACTAAAAACCAAGAGACAAAAAAATTATGTAGCTAGCAAAAAAAATGCATAGAATGTACTCTGTCCACTGAGTGATCAACAGTAAAATATGCATATAATTGACAGATGGAATATTCTGATGGTGACCTGAAGTAATGTTGCGATCAGACAAGATCAAATTTTGTTTTAATGCACTTTTTTTAGATGTAGTTGAGGTAACCACTCTTTCTAGCAAGAAAACACTAAGCTTAACCTAAAAAAAAATTTTTTTTTGACCGTCCTCATGCGACATTTGTCACAGCTGAAGCGTAAGGTTTCATATACCTATGCACAAAATCTGAATGTTTCTTAGCTAGATAAAATATACATTAACAAAAATAGTCAACATTTGATTATGTTTAACCAACCTATTAAAGCCAAAAATCACATAAAGTTTAGAGGGCAAGTGAGTAGACATACACGTTTACGTTAACTAATATTAACAGTTGGGCAAGTAGATACACATATTATGTTGTGTGCGATCGAAGAAGTTACGATATCGCCGTCGTCTAATCTGGGCACTTACCACACCGTTTGCAATGGTCAGATTATCCATGACGAAAAGTCGAAACTACCGCAAAACGAACGGACGCGGAACGGCAGGCGTATTCGTATGTCGTCGATGTTGAAGTCTTTGGTCGTATGAATGGACGGGCGACAAACGAACAACTTAGTAGTAAGTACAAACTACGCACTACGCGGTGAAATCTGGAATCTGAACACAAGCCTCGGCGTCGCTGTACAGTGATAAGAAAATACGACAAAAAGCATTGATAACAAGATCACATGTACGACGCGCGACCATAGATAATTTTCTTGTGATAGATAGCTACGAGCGACCGCAGTTGCATAACCACTGAATAATAATATTATAATATAAAACAACAGTATGATCATAGAGTAACAATAGTATATAAAAAAAAAACAAAGCAGTCATGGAAGCTGCAACAATGATAATTTTGCTTTACGAAAGAACGGATCATGGACACGCCGCGGTAAATTACTCAGTACTCACTAAGAGACGACGGAAACCACAACACTGGCACACTGCATATTTTAGTGCCTATGTGTATCATGAAAGGAATACTTACAGAAATATTTTTTTTTCGAATGAAATTATTTTTCAAGATGGATAAACAATAGTTATTGAAAATTGTTATTATCATTGTTGTATATAAAGCCGCACCGATTAAATATTAATCATGACGTATGGTTGCTATTTCAAAACGACATTTAATATTTAAAAATCTTACACCGATTGTATTTGCCTGTCACCCACTACCGGGTTAAATAAACATACCTTTCAACTTTCTATCATTAATTAAAAAAAAAATATTGTAATTAAAGTGGCTGAAGCAGGTACAAACTATCACATAAGACAGGCTAAAACCTAGACAAAACTGTGGAACTTGGATTTGACGGGTTTTAATTTTGAAAACTATTTTTAAATCTTCAACAACTCTACTAAAGCATGATCGTGGAAAGTTATCATTTTTACAAAAACTAATGGCGTACATAAATAAATAAAATACCAAAATTTTTTTTTTAAATAATCGTTATAATATTGATGAATTTAAATAAATAAAATCCCCTCGACCATTCCCCAACTATCACAATGACTAACTAATATTAATTTTCAAAATTAAAATCTGCCAAATAGAAGTTCCTCAATTTTGTCTAGCTTTTTGACACTTTGTCATTTGAATATCATGGCGTAAATTTGATAAAACAACATCTACTTCTTCGAATAAAACAAATATAGGAATTATACCGGAAGATAATTTTCAACATAATTTAACATCAGAACTTGTAACCCCTCAAATACAATATGAAAATGATGAGTTGTGAAATTATGGAAAAAATAACACGTAAGAATTTGTAACCATTAATAAAGAATATGAAAATGGCCAGTTGTGTTATGGTGATAATTGGGAAAAATTAAAGGGTAAAGTATTGTGACCTCAAACAATTTTTTAAATCTTTACAGACTATACATCACTTGGGATTTGAACATTCATTTAGATATTTAGAGTTTGTAAAAGAAAATAGAAAGGGATACTATAGTCTATAGTACAGTTCGGATCAATTGTAAAGTATGTGGTTTAAAGAACAAATAAATAGTGAAAATGTCGAAAGGCAATAATATAAACATTAATATGGTAATGTTTAGCACTGCTATAAATACAGGTAAAGACTCAAGGGTACAGCCAACTCGAAGAATTTTCTGCAACATAAATTTGCCAAAAATGTCCAACCAATTATATACATAAATACATACGAAGTTTTTATGCATGTTCATGACATAGTTTGGAAAGAAATAGAAGTAGCTTGACAAAAAGAATAAAGATAAGCAATCGAAAACGGTGATTTAGATCTGAAAACGTCAGCCAAAACTTGTAGTGATTGCAGATGGGCCATGGAGTAAGCCTTCATACAAAAACAATTACAATGCATTGTCGAGAGGAGTAAGTTTTAGAAATAATTTATAAGTATTACTAAGTTGTGAACCAATCGTGGAACAAGGTTGTCAAACATCAAATCAAACCAAATTTAACACGTAATTTAATTTACAAGGTAATGTAAAAATGTACTATACTGGGGTAAGTATTTAACACTTATAAACACTCAGAGTAATATCATAACATTCATAACATAAGACAAGTATTTCTAGAATAGATATAGCAACTATTCAACACGTAGAAAAACTGTATCTAGATCACTAAAACGAGAGCTTAAATATTAAAAACAACAGCATCTTATAATTCTATACTGGGTGTTATAATATACACATTTGGTACCTACATTAGTAAAAAAAAACAAAATTTTCCTTCTAACATCTATTAAAACTGAAAAAGTAATGAAACAAATATAAGTGCATACAAATTTAGAGGTTAATGGGTGTAGGTTACATCAGGATTAAGTGAATATTGAACTATTAATTAGCTATTTTAATTTCCAAAACGTATTTTTCATTGACATATTTTTATTTTTTAAGTTTTCCAGACAATATTGCCTATGGTGAGTCTATTGGAGTTGGTTTCAAAAAGATCCAATGAATATTGAAATTTTTATTAGCATTTTAAAACTTAAATTATTAACTCGTGTCATATTTTTTGCATTTCAAAGGGTTATTTTGCTTTCCAAAGTGTGTTTATCAATCAAAATCTATATTGTTATAAGTGTTTCTTGCTATGAAGACTGTGTTGAATGTGTTTTTGTAGGTTTCATCAAGATCCAATGAAAATTGAATATTATATTAGCTATTTAATAGTAAAACATCTATTTTACAGTAGAATTGGGGTAAAAGTTGTTTTTAATTTCCAAAATGTATTTTCATTGATATATTTTGTTTTAAGTTTTCCAGACAATATTGCTATGGTGAGTCTATTGGTGTTTCAAAAGATCCAATGAATATTGAAATTTTATTAGCATTTTAAAACTTAAATTATTAACTCGTGTCATATTTTTGCATTTCAAAGGGTTATTTTGCTTTCAAAAGTGTGTTTATCAATCAAAATCTGTTTGTATAATTGTTTCTGCCTATTAAGACTGTGTTGAATGTGTTTTGTAGGTTTCATCAAGATCCAATGAAAATTGAATATTATATTAGCTATTTAATAGTAAAACTTCTATTTTACAGTAGAATAAAAGTTGTTTTATAATTTCCAAAATGTATTTTCATTGATATATTTTGTTTTAAGTTTTCCAGACAATATTGCTATGGTGAGTCTATTGAGTTGGTTTCAAAAGATCCAATGAATATTGAAATTTTATTAGCATTTAAAACTTAAATTATTAACTCGTCATATTTTTGCATTTCAAAGGGTTATATTTGCTTTCAAAGTGTGTTTATCAATCAAAATCTATGTTGTTATAAATGTTTCTGCCTATTAAGACTGTGTTGAATGTGTTTGTAGGTTTCATCAAGATCCAATGAAAATTGAATATTATATTAGCTATTTAATAGTAAAACTTCTATTTTACAGTAGAATTGTAAAAGTTGTTTTTAATTTCCAAAATGTATTTTTATATATTTTGTTTTAAGTTTTCCAGACAATATTGCCTATGGTGAGTCTATTGGAGTTGGTTTCAAAAGATCCAATGAATATTGAAATTTTATTAGCATTTAAAACTTAAATTATTAACTCGTATCATATTTTTGCATTTCAAAGGTTATTTTGCTTTCCAAAGTGTGTTTATCAATCAAAATATGTTGTTATAATTTCTGCCTATTAAGACTGTGTTGAATGTGTAGGTTTCATCAAGATCCAATGAAAATTGAATATTATATTAGCTTATTAATAGTAAAACTCTATTTTACAGTAGAATTGTAAAAGTTGTTTTTAATTTCCAAAATGTATTTTCATTGATATATTTGTTTTTAAGTTATCAATACATATGGTGAGTCTATTGAGTTGGTTTCAAAAGATCCAATGAATATTGAAATTTTATTAGCATTTAAAACTTAAATTATTAACTCGTCATATTTTTGCATTTCAAAGGGTTATTTTGCTTTCCAAGTGTGTTTATCAATCAAAATCTATGTTGTTATAATTGTTTCTGCCTATTAAGACTGTGTTGAATGTGTTTTGTAGGTTTCATCAAGATCCAATGAAAATTGAATATTATATTAGCTATTTAATAGTAAAACTTCTATTTTACAGTAGAATTGGGGTAAAAGTTGTTTTATAATTTCCAAAATGTATTTTCATTGATATATTTTGTTTTTAAGTTTCCAGACAATATTGCATATGGTGAGTCTATTGGAGTTGGTTTCAAAAGATCCAATGAATATTGAAATTTTATTAGCATTTAAAACTTAAATTATTAACTCGTGTCATATTTTTGCATTTCAGGGTTATTTTGCTTTCCAAAGTGTGTTTATCAATCAAAATCTATGTTGTTATAATTGTTTCTGCCTATTAAGACTGTGTTGAATGTGTTTTGTAGGTTTCATGAAGATCCAATGAAAATTGAATATTTTATTAGCTATTTAATAGTAAAAACTTGTATTTTACTGTATGAATTGGGGAAAAAAGTTTTTTTTTAATATCCAAAATTTGTTTTTCAATCATAATCAGTGTTTTTTTAATTTTTCTAGACAATATTGATTGTGGTGAGTCTTTTGGTGTTGGTTTCAAAAAGATCCATTGAATATTGAAGTTTTTATTAGCAATTTAAAAGTTAAATTATTTACTCGTGCCATATTTCGTGTGATTAAAATGTTTATTTTGATTTCCAAGTTGTACTTATCAATCATAATCAATGGTTTTTTAAGTTTTCCTGACTATAGTTACTGTGATGATTCATTTTCTGAAGGTTTCATGAAGATCCAATGAAAATTGAATATTTTATTAGCTATTTAATAGTAAAAACTTGTATTTTACTGTATGAATTGGGGAAAAAAGTTTTTTTTTAATATCCAAAATTTGTTTTTCAATCATAATCAGTGTTTTATTTTGTTTTTAATTTGTTTTGTTGATTTTATGTTAGATGGGGACATTATTTGTATGTGTTGTGTCCTTAATGAGTAATTTACAAGAATACAAGTAACTACATGTGTCTATTTGTATACAAAAATGATTAAAAATCTATTCAATATTATTATTGACAACATTTACAAATACTGTTTAAGGGATGCTTCTATTATTAGTAAATTCTATCAAAGGATATTTTTGAAATCTTTTGTAATCAACCGTTTTGTCATTTCTTCTATACAGTAAACAATACTAATAATTGTTAATTAGTGTTTATTTGAATACAAACAAGATAAATTAATCACCTTTTTGTTATAAAAATACCGTACTTTAAAACATTAAAAATACTATTGCAACAAACATTTAAAAAATATTGTACTTATTTTTACAGTAGTAAACATGAATAATGAATTTATTAAATTCTGGTATTTAGGTAAAAATAGCAAATTTATTCTTTTAAAATTCTAATGAAATAATATAAAATAAATATCAGCATAAATGTATATATATAAAATAAAAAAAAAAAAACCAAAACGAAAAAATTAAATATGTTGGATAAACAAAACTCAGGTCAATATCATTAGTAATAAAACATATTGCATTTACTTGCTACTACCTATGTTATTTTTTATGAAACTGCTTAGAATGATATACACAGAAGTGTAACACCAAGGCATATCTGCAAAATAAAATAACTTAGTAAATATTCATCATTTAATTTTATGAAGATTTTTAGAATACAGGTAAATAATATTTATTTCTGAAAATGAATGTTATAATTTTAAAATTAACATTATAATAATTCTTACCTTTGTGATCTTCATCATATTTTACTTTTCTACCAACATATTTAGGTATTTTATGAAGATAAATGTTTTGATTAGTAAATTGTTTGATGTTATCTTTAAGTATAGTAATGTTGGTCCAAATAAACCTACTTCTTTGACGGACATCGTTTGTGTTCATTCCAATGATAATAGGTTGAGAGTTAACAAACCTTAAAAATACATAATATATGTTTAAATTTTAATAGACAAGTTTTCAATTTACAGCAATACAATTTTTTTTTAAAAGTTAGGCAAATGGATACTGTTCTACTATATATTAGTTATTAAGTGGATCACTGTTATGGTTGTGTTAAATTTGAATTAAATGATACATCAATATACACAACAAATAATTCTGAGTGAGATTGTCGCTCAGCCTATTTCACTAAGTATATAAATGTTATAGAAAGTAGACTATCGGGCAATGTTTACATTGCCTGATTATAATGGGTAATGTGGGCAAAATTATACTTCGCCGTGCTATATAGAATAATTGTGCTCAGTTTAGGTTAGGCAATGATAACTAATTTGTTTGAATTATTAAATTTACAACTGACTCTGTTCTTACAGCAATTATCTTATTTATTCTACTACCTATTTTCCTTCAATCAATGTTTCATCAACTTCACTATGATTTCCAGTATTCATAAATGTTATAGCAGTTTCTAAACCTTCTTCAGTTTGTAATTTATTAATTAATGTTATTGGATGTACCGATGATTTTAATCCAATTTTTGCTCTACATCCAAACATTGCTTTTGTACTCTCATACTAATTACTTTATAAAATATAAATATAAAAGTATGTATATAACTCTAAAAAATATAATATGAACAAATTTACTGTAATACAGTACCTATCCTCCTCAGTCCTCACTATATTTACTATTTGTTAACTGTTTAATACATTAAAAAAAAAAAAAAAAAATTGTATTAAAATGGAAAGTTTTGTTGATAGTTTAAATTATAATGTCCAATTTACTACGGACAAATTAACTTGACAGGTCAAAATATAACCCGCATGGCAAAAATAGAATTTTTAATATATTACCCGAAAACACTGGGCAAAGTATACACTGACCAAGCAATGTAAAACATTACTCAATATTCTACTTTCCCCGTAACTTAAATATATTTTGAAATAGTTATTATAAAGTCATTTAAATTACTTTAAGTATTATGATAGATTAAAAGTTGATATATTTTTTCCGAAATTATAGTATTTAGTATATTATTAGTAATAATGACACTTAAATAACTCAAAATTTAAAAACATCTATGTAACATAAATTAGTAAAAATAAGGTTATAGTGAAAAAAGAAATCAAGAATGTCATTACTCATTACACATAATACAATTTATAGAAATATATTAAGTAAACATTTTAAGTTCATACAATTAATGTTTTTAAATTATAATAAAATAATTAACATCGATTATCGATACTATATACTTATCATTTGAATAAGCAATTTCTCCAAGTTTGAACTTGAAATATTTTTATAAAAAATAATCGTCTGTGTATATATTTTAAATTGATGGTTTCAGTATGAAATACTTATGAAAAATCTTACATTCAATTTTTAAAACATAGATAAACTAAGAACATTTTTAATTTTTTAATTACAAAATAGAACAATTATTTAGCAATTTTATGAATTTGCCAAAATTCTAACTTTAAACCCTAATAAACAGATATTGTAAAAAAAAGATTTTTGATATTTTATTAATTGAAAAATTAACTATTCATGAAGAGTGTTTTATTCAAGTTTCAAGCATTTCTATCCTGCAAATAATTTTTAATTGGCATTCATGAAAAAAAAAAACCAAAAAAATATTGAATATTTCTTATTTCTATAAATAGCTTAAAAATAGTCAAAACATTTTACAAATTTTATTGTAAATATAAGACAATAATACAAATACTTGGTTAAAATTAAATATCTATAGTCGCAGCAAAAACATAAATTCGATGTTGTCAAAAATTGAATTAAAGTACAAATGCCATTTTTTCTTAATTTTTTGTTTGTTTTTTCTGATTATAAAAATAATTATAGGAAATCTTTATACTTGATCTCTTTAGAGTACAAATAAGATCCAATTTGGAAAAACTAAACCCATTTTTGAAAATCTAAGCATTTTATCGTCAACTTATCATGTACTCTACCGCAAAAAAAAATATATATGTTAAAATCAACAAATTAATCACTTCAATTATATTTGGCAATAAAAAAAATACTAGAATAGTTTGTATAAGATGAAACCAATTTCTTTGTAAATTTTATCAAAAATACTACTGTAATATATATGATATATTATCTGAAGTGTGCCATGCATATAAAATAGTAAAATAGTAAAATATAAAATATTTACAAAAAACACAAATAAAAATAGTCACTAGACTAAAGGTATATTTTTTTCAAATGTTTAAAGATAAAAACATGGGATACTTAAAACCTTAACAAAATGCTTAAATTGTTATCAAATTTTACCTTGAAATTGTTTTTTGTTCAGAAACTTTGATAGCAGCACTTGTTTCAAAAGCCCAGAAAATAGTTTTATCATCATGCAATGCTTCCATTTTATTTTTAATTTGCAAAAAGGAGAAAAATTTTTTCATGCAATCATTCAGATCTATATAAAAAAATTAATAAGACTTTATCAGTAAAACAATTTTAGTCATTGAACGTAAATCAACAAAACTTTTATTTCATTTACCAAAAAATTTATCTTCATCATAATTCTCCTTGTTAGGATAATATTGAATGATTAATTTGGCATTACTCTCATTATTGTCTTGAATATCACCATTTAAATAACTGATTTCGAGAATTTTAAAGGGAAATTCTAGGTTTTTTAAAGCTTTTGGTACTAAAAAAGGAACAAATAGACATTAAAATTACCATTAAGTTTAAAAACCAAAGTTTAAAGATATTTTTTAATATGTTTCCTTATCTCATTTCTAATCAGATTAACTAAGTAAAATTTCACTTCAAATGTATTTTAATTAATAAAGGGGTTTGATAAATAAAATAACATATTTGATGAACCAAGTATTGAACCAAACTTTAAGTATGTGTAATAGAAAAATCAAATAATTAATCAACTTAATATTATTCACCATTGTTTTGAATATCTTTTAAATTTAAGACATGTATCTCTTTAATTTGTTCATTGGTACAGTTCTTTTCAGTGCTCGCTGGATACAAGTTATAAATCTGTAATAGTGTGATATTTATGATTTTTGACAGAACAAGAAGCAAGTTAAAAAATTACGTTTCTTAATTGATCGACTGTTTTCCTTGGAACTAGTTTACTGGTCTTAAAAGTGGTGGTATTTGAACATGCAAAACATTTCCATGTTTTATCCTCAAGAATTTTTTCCACAGCTTTCTGTTCACAATAAAATTCTAAACATTCATTGCAGTAAGCTCTGCTTAAAAAAATATATATGATATATGTATAATATATAAAATAATAACTTTAAAAACTATACAATTAATTGATCATACCTTATACAAAAACTGCACAATACTAATGTATCTTTTTGAGTAAGACAAACACAACAGCCATCCTATTAAAATATATAAAAATGATGATATTAAATAAAATAATAATTAATTAAATAAAAATAATCTAAACAATCTTGAAAAAAATATTTAATTTTTCAAACAAAAATAAATATTGGCAATAAAAATAAATCATTTATTCTTTATACTTACATTTGCATTGTCTTTTGCTATTGATAGAATAATGTGTTTTCCTTTTATCTAAAAAGAATAATAAAAAATGTAAGAATAAGAATTGCATAATAAACAATTTCTAAAAATTTCATTGATATTAAAATGGCAACTGATAAGAGAAACTAAAAAAATAAAATCAAAATAAAGATCAATTTACAAAAAACCAAATTAAAAATAATTTAAGGAAAAAAACAAAATATTACATATTTTTAATTTAAAAACTATTTTTGTTTTATCATGTTCTGACTTATAAGTTGCTTGCATAAAAGTACTATAATCTAGTTATATTTTAAATAAACCATCTAAACATATCATACTAATAATTAATAGTATTATAATATTATCATTCGCATAAAATAAAAAAATTCATTAACTTTTAAGTTTTAAGTAAAATTGACTTAAGTACAAAATATATTTCAGAATACAAATTACTAGCAAGTTATTTTTAATTGAAAGTGAAATTATTTATATGATATCTATAAATCTAGAAAATAAAACCCCTCAATTTACTATTTGTAATAACTTTAAAAATCTAACAATGCTCAATTTTTTACTTTTCAAGACCTATCATCATCGAAATAAGGAGATATTATCAATTGATAATTATTGCATTGTTCGAATGAAATAAAACTAATAATTATTATTATTTTATTAGTTTTGTATAAACTGATTTTTACATGTTTGAACAAAAGTTTGGCATAAATTTAATCATGGAATCGTAACAGAGAAAGAAATATACAGAGTCTAAATTAGGGTAAAAGATAATCTTATAAAAGCTGCATATCTTAGCCCAAATGATTGATAAAAATAGAAATTTAAGTTATTATGTGAGGTTGATGTTCATTGAAAATGTCAGGTAAATAGATTTAAAAGAAATAACTTTGAACAGTTAATGATTTTTCCCAAAAACAAGTAGAAATATAAGCTTAAAATAATATTGATAAAAACTAAAATAAAAAAATATTCAAACCTTTAAGTACATATTAAATCATTATAAATTATATGATAAGAAATATTAAACATACATTAAATAAACATAGATATATATACTAATAAATTGTTTAAAGTTTTAAGAATTAAATAGAAAAAAATAAAAATGTCTACTTACAAAACAATCATCACACAAAAAACCATTAAATATGGGATGTTTAATCTCTAGTTCATCTATAGCTATTCGACACGCCAGGCAATATTGGTTTTTCATTTTTGCTAGAAACAATTAAAATACCTAGGTAGATAATTCAAATAATCAAAAAAATCAAACATTAAACATATTAAAAAAAAATCAATTTAAATGTTCTGTTATTGATATATAATGATAAAATTCTCATTTCAGAAGTAGGTATTGTAGTTCAATTTTTTTTTTTAACAACAGACATTGAAATCTCAAATAATTTTAGTAAATATGTACGAGTGATATGACTTTCATTAATAATATTTTACAAGAATAGTTTAAATTAAGTTTTATCACAAATGAAACATATATTATAATACTGTAATAACTAATAAAATATAAAAATATAAATAAAAATGGTAAATTTTTTATTCATCAAAACATAAATAATAAGTACTAGTAAATAATATATATCAACAGCAGTTATAAAATGGCACCACTTTACCAGTAAATCACATCTTATATTATTACTATTACTTACAAATTTCAGAAACATCAATTTTTCTTTTTTCTCCACGTGGGCTTTCAACATCTTTTTCTTTATTGTCTTCAATTTTTTTTTTAATATTATTATTTGTCATTATGATTTTGTTTAGGAAATTATCTGGAATAATCAATTCTTCATCTAGACGACAATTTTCTATTAAAAAGTTACATATTATATTATTATGATATAATCTGAAATCAAAGCTACTTAATTTAATACAACTTAATTCAGACGCTAGTTTCAATTATTTATATACTTTGATAATATTTTTAAAATTATTGTATTCAAAAATGTCTAAAAACAATATTGTGATAGGACAAATATTATGTTATCTATCTTATAATAACATACCAAATTTTCTATTTACAATAAATTGATTTATTCCATTGTTTTATAAAAATGAATGTAAACTGAACTATTATACAATGTAAGTGTCTAGAACAGTAGACGGCCCGCAAAGGAAAAATAATTGGACCACAAAAAATATTTTTTTTAATAATGTTGGTTTTCCACGCATAATATATATTTTATCTATTTTATTATGTATTTAAAGATCACGATGGTGTTTATCGTTTATTGTTATTTACAATAACAGTTGCAATAACACAACAATTATTAACTAATATCTGAGTTTTTAGTTTTTACTGGCCCTCGAAATTTTTTTTTTTGATTTTCTGGATCTTCATAGAATTTAATTGCTGACCCCTGGTCTAGTACTTTAAAAAAAAAAAAAAAATACTAAAAGAACTACAACAATCACTGAAATTATTGTTAAAATCAAATTAAAAAAAGTAATAATTAATTGAACAGACAACATAAAAACAAAGTATATATCTAATCATTTTAACTAAAATATTAATCATAATAGATATAATAATTAAGAATTATAAATAAGTTATAACAATTTATTTCGTTTACTTGTCATACCTTTCATAATAATAGGCAAATTCACTAATGCCCAATTTATCTGGTTAACATTTCCATCATAATGTTTAGGGATTACAAAGTTAAATTGTAAGGATAATATCTACAAAATATATTAATGCAAATTATATTATGGTATTTTAAATAATAAAATTTAGAATTATAATTAAAAAGTAATTACTTTAATCGCTTGTTTAACACCTTCTTTGCGTTGACCACATAAATTAGTCATACCATCTTTTATTTTAGATTTAAAATCAAATATCAAATTATTTTTCAGCTAAAAATTATAATTTAAAAATAACTAAGTGTTATTTAATATTGTAGACATCATATATGTTAATGATTGATATTTTAAGTATTCAATTTTTTAATACCTGTGACATAGTGTCATTAACCAACCACCAAACACATGTTTTTCCAGGCTGATCTTCAAAATATACTAAATTCATTTTCTTTGTAGAAATAATCATTGCTAAATATTTATAAAAGCATAAAAAATAAAAATAATTTAATAAACATAATAATAATTAGAGGATGCAATACTCACATTCATCTGACAAGTGCTTAACATAAATTTATAATTAACAACTGGATAAAATTTAGTTATTCTTAAATTAAAAGTGAATTTACTTATTATTGAACACAGTAAGACAAAAAAGTTGTCTCAGTGATCTTGGAGATGATTTTTGATATTTTGATTTTTAAGTAAGTAATAAGTAGGGCAAGGAAGTTGATACATTTTACATTATTTTTTTTTGGAACTTATTAGACGATTCTCTCCTGGCCACAAATGTATTTCATAAACATGTGAATCTAAATAATTAATTTTTATTTTTCATTTTTTGGCTTTTTTTACTTTTCAAGTAATTTTTTATCATTTTTGAAGTCATATTTTCCTTTTTAGTTCAATTTCTTGAATTTATAATTAGATTTTGTTAATTAACATCTTTACATGCATAGTTTTTATTTTACACAAATTATATATGAGTACCTACATCAAATTTATATTTTATAAAATAATATTTTACACAAATTATACATAGGTTAGGTAAAGATAAATATTCAATAAAATAAAACCATTGCTAGCGTCATTTTTACTTTTGACAAAATAAAGTATGCTTTAATAGTACAATGTAATAATTTTGAGAATTTTTACTATTATTGTTATTCTTTTTTTTCTCAAAAAAATGTAATTTTATTAGTTTTAAACAAATATTTATAAATTTTTAGGTCATTTTTTAATGTTTTTAAGGTCATCAACTTTCGAGCCCTAGTAATATGTTTTATTATGTATAAATTTATATTAAAATTAACTTTATATTGCTGAACATAAATTTTCTATGTTATAAACATTTAAGATAAATAAAACAAATGCAAGAGTGACATCTTCATTATAAATATTATTGACTTGTATTATACACTTATTTATTAAATGCTTCACATCTGTATTACAACAGCAATGTTATTTAAGAACGGGCAGTAAGCATGAACTGGAATTTTTTGAAGTATCCATTGAAAAACAATTTTTGAAGACTTTGAGCAATACAATTACTTATTGTACTCTTATATAGCATATTTTTGTAAATGATTGTTATTTATATTATAAAGGTAATAAATATGTTTTTATGGCTAGTAGGAAGGAATGTAAGTGTCAATATAAGTACATTTGTTTACAAATAATTAAATGATTATTTGAAGAAAGTTTCATTCAAAGGAATAATAAAATATAATATGATTTTATAGAAGGCGTTCCTCCTTCTATTGAGAACCTCAATATTTATTTGAATGTATACAATATATAGAAATGTAGTTAATTTTCAAAATTTGACTAATTTTTTAAGCTATTCCTTATATTTTTTAACAACTAATTCTTACCATTATGCGAAAAAAATGTTCAATGTAGGGACGCTTAAATATTATTTAAAAATTACAATCATTAGAAATTACTTTTAACTTTTAAGTCAACTTGGAATTCTTCAAATTGGATGAGACAGATGATATGGTAAGCAAATAAAGGAAGAAAATGCAATGCTTCAGCAGAATATAGAGATGAAACTCATGAGATGTCACAGTTTTTAGATGAATATAAATACAATTATAATAATCTATAAAACTTTTCATTTTTTTTTAATATAAAATATATTAAATTAGTTAAAGTGGTATTTAAATTATACACTAATTGCAGAGTATTTAATGCAAGTGCCGAGTGACCCAAATTCCATATAGATCATAATCTTTTTTAATTTTTTAAATCACTAAAATCATAACTTTAGATTCTGCAATAGTCTAAATGTTAACAAACTAATGTAAAAACGTTGATTTAAATTTGATTATTAAATTAGTTTTGCATAAAAATTGTATTTAAAAAAAAAAAAGAAAAAGTTGTTTTGTAATAATTTTAGTTTGGGTATTTATCAAAAAATAGAATGTGATTACTCACAACCAAGTCATTATTATTATACAATATTAAAATGTAATATTTATTTTTAGTTAATAAAACTTTTTTAAAGAACCAATACATTATAAGTATTTATAACAATTGAAATAATGGAATTATTTTTATTTACAAGTTAAAATATTACATGACTACTAAAACAATTATTAGTACAGCCTATTTTGTTATAAGTTATAACCACAATTTATAATAAAATAAATATAAATTAACCATTCTAATAAATATTAAATATTTACATAGTTTCCACTTAAACATATAATAATTATTATGCAGACTATTTGATAACATAATATTTATAGTATTGCCAAATAAAATTATATTCTTTAGTTTCTTGTTGGTTGAGTTGGTTCATAATATATTAATTTTACTTAATAATATAATAGTAACTAATTATCAGTTACACGTAAAAATAAATATAAAAATCCAAAGAATATTAAGACGTAAAAATTAGAGATACTATTTATAAAGAATACATAAAAAAATAATATGAACTTCAAAGAGGACGTCGGACCCGCAATGCTGTCTCCGGCTTACGCCTTAAATACGTACGTCATGGTAAATTTTCGTTCACCAGTTTCAATAATGTGCTTTTAGTTTTAATATTAGAGTTGATTGACCTATTACTAAACATTAAACTTTTAGGTAAGAAAATTATTTGTTTTCTCTCGTTGATTTTATACGATATTTTAATTTTTAAGTAAGTTAGGTAATATTTAAAAACGCTCATGATTTATTTAAAAATTAAAATATCGTAAAATACCAATGAAAGAACACAGATAATGTTTTGAACTAAAAAATTGATAATAAGTTAATGTACTTTAATATCAAAACTAAAAACATACTACTGAAACGGGTGAACGAAAAATTACTATATTCTACATGTCACGTGTGTAAGACAGAGACAACACACACGGGTGCGGTGTTCTCTTAAGTAATAATTTAAAAATGAGTTTTATAGGTCTTATATAAAACTGTTGTAACTAAAACTTTGCTTATCATTAAAATAATTTATCCTCGAGTTGAAAGATAAATAAGTACCACACAGGGAAATAAAATTGGATATTTTTATTTAATTTTAAATAATTTAATTAAAATTTTAATATTGAGATATATTTCACCAGTCGGTAAAATAAAAATCGTTTTATGACTCTCCGCAGCGACAAGATATAGAGAAGGTCGCCCGGATTACCGATCGGATATCGACCATTTATCTAAAAATAAATGTAGATGATAATCTCAAACAATAATAGCCATTTTTTAATCAACAATGCATGATAATAATTGTTCAAATGTAAAGAAAAAAAATGGTAATTACTAATTAGTAATATACTTTGAGGAACCACAGATATGAATAAGAATGACGCGGAAGATCTAGCTTTACCTATAGTTATGAATCAATGTGAAAATGATGTAGTAGAAATCAAACCGTGTGATCAAAATTATGGACGTAGGTAAATTATGTATTTTATTAAAAAAAAAACTAATTTTAACATTTATTTGAATACACTTTGAAAATTCTATTTTTCTCATAAAATATGTAATGTATAGACGATAAAGAATAAACAAAACAATATTTGATGTTTCATAATGTCAATGTTTTAATATCATTCGCACGAATATAGTTATCGAATTTTTAAATTAGTTACTTAGTGTTTTCAAACTTCAATAAAATGTTTGTATAGGTATTACGGATATAGAAAATTAAAAAAAATTTCCACACAGCGAGTCTTCTTCTGTATCACATATAAATTTGGTTTCTCGATTATCATTGATGGAGCTTATTATTTTAACTAGAGTGGTTTTTTTCGTGCTACATCACAAACGAAAGTTTTTATAAACATTTTCATATTTTATTAAATTGTATTATTGCCAGAGTGAAATAGTAAATAAATTGATAATTTATCAATGATAAACATTGTACAATGGTAAATAAAAATAAAACAAAAATAATAGGGCAACAAAATGGCTTTTTGACAGTTCTATTTATAAAACAGTTCCAAAGAGTAATTTATGGTTTATAGATATTAGTAAAATTAGAAAAATACTTATAGACAATAAATGGCCGCTGTGCTCAATTATTACTAGTTACTGCAACTAATAAAATTTACCAAGATTCGACTTGAACATATATAATGATGTTCTAGTATAATAAATGCATACTTTAAAAACATTAATTAGGAAGTACTATCATGAATAACCAAATAATATTAAAATCCAACCACTAAAAATATTAGCTAAATAAGTATGAGTACTTAGTAGTTAGTATCTATAGCTGGTACAATAAGTGTGTAATTAGTAAATTAACGTTTTCACCGAAATTCAAATGACAAGTTTTGATAAACAAAAAAAATAAGTGCATAATATTTCGTCTAAAATAATATTATCACTATACAAGTACATTAGTAAAATTATAAAATTACATACCGGCCCACAATTTGGATTTTTTGGATATTTTTGCCCAAACGATTCGGCCTTGCTGTTTTTCTGCGTCGTTTATCATTTTCCCACGTTGAATTTTTCTTCTTGCAATGTATAGCCAATTACTAGAAAATTATTTAACAGATTATTGTTTGGGAAAAATGTGGTCTATTGTTTCACGGTTCGCTATTTAAGATCCGTACAAACGTCTTAAATTATTACTATAGTAATTTAGATGTACCTAATAATAATAAATTGTTTGACATAACATAATATAGTACCTTTAAAACAAGTGTTATGAACTAAAAAATAGAACAAGGTCCAGAACCGATAACGAGGAGTATGTTCTAAAGACGAATGCGGAATGGCAAACGACTAACCATCGGGCATTAAAGTCACTATTAAACTACTGCACTAAATGCACTACTGCAGTATTAATAGTAATGTAGTAATTACGTCGATGATCGATGTGATTTTTAGCGCTGTTGCCGAGTTCTTGTAAAGTGTTCGACAAACACAGCGTACTTGCGGACGAATAAAGACTGAAAATTAATTATTATTGTATAGAAATATCTATAATAGTAATAATAGGTACAATATAAACCATACAGACGCGTTTGCATAGCATGAATGTAAATAATGACGATATAACAAGAGAGTTTTTGGGATTTTCCATTGACCGTATAGAGTGTGACACAAACTAGTGTGTATATCCCCTCTTTTTTCAATACTCTTGTTATACTCTAACGGTTAAATATCTAATACGCAATGTCGCGTTTGAATTATTTATTCTAATTTTTAACTATTTACGTATATTTTAGCAAAAAATAAATGCCAAAAAGAAAGTTTAAAACTTGCACTCGTAATTGCTTGTATTTTAAACCGTATAGGTATAACCTACCTATGCTATATATATACTGCATAGTATTATAATTTATAATATATTAGATACCTGTATTTAATATATACAGGTCAATGGCGTATTTAGGTTTTTGTCATGGGGGGGGGGATATGACTTATAAATGAAGATACCAATGAGAATATTATACAATATATCATAATATTTAATTCTTGCAAATTTAATCAATTATTGATAAAAAAAAAAAATAATAATAATAATTTTTTAAATAATATGATGACTATAATTATTTGTGAGTATACAGCCTATGCGGGATTTATCCCCTTGATCCCCCCTTTAACACGCCACTGATACAGGTTATCAGTGTATAACCAGTTGGTAATGGTTTCGCAAAGATTTTGACATAAAAACAAGACAACAAATGAAGAATTGAAACGACGCACCTGAAGGTTCTACTGAATTCAATATTCATTGTTTGAGTAGTCATATATAACGGATAAAATCTGTACAACGGTAGACGTGACCACATTTTCTCGTCGAAAGTTCATATAACATCAACTAAGAAGTCAAACTTAATGAAATAATATGTATTATAAAAAATAAAAATACAATAATTTCTACTAAATAGTTGGAAAAATTATATAATTTTTATTATTCACTATACGTCATGTTCACCTCATATTTTCATTTAATAACGAATTGATTCATTAGGTATCTTATTTTCAGAATTTTTTACACAAAATATTATATTTTCAAACTGTTGACATTTTTTGTACCACTTAAGGAGTGTATGTACTGTAGACATACAAAACTCTGGATAATTTTTCTGAAAATGATAACATATCTAAATCAAAAGTCAAACTAGTTATTTTTAAGTTATTGCACCTAGTGTATTAAAGATAATAGGTCCATAAAAATAAGATGGTTCCTTGTCGAATCATACGTGTTTGTAAACAATAAATCCACATGGATAATATTATATTATAATAATTGAAAATGGTTATTGAAATGAATAGCCACTCAAATTCTCGTTAACACAATCGCCTCTTTATCGCATATTTTTAATTTGTTGAAAATAGCTACCGAGGGCGACACGTCATGATAACACGTACCTCAACTACCTACGTGCGTTACATCAATACATCATTTAAACATTTTAAACCTAGATAAGGTGACGTGTTTTATAATTTGTAGATAAACATAACGTGTCGATGTTTTAATTTTAATACAATTTGTCTCACGTCTGTATACATAATATTATGTTATTATTATTATTATTATAACCGTAACACGAATTGTATGAATTTGGTCGATATGGCGGCGAGTGCATTGTATGATATTTTTAGAACAGAACATTATACTGTAATAGCTGTCGACGTGACGATTAATACTGATTTAATTTTCGGATATTCCAAACCATTAGAATCGCTTTAGCAATGGCCCGGAAATGACAATCAATAAATCTACAAAATAAAAATAATACAACATTATTAAGTTACAGCGGTAAATCCGGTATGTGACGTGAGGTCGTATCGTTTTTAAAATAACCCGACGCCGAAACTAGAAAAACAATATAATTGTAAATCTTTTAATAATACGCTAAATTCACTTGCCTCGGTCATTTTGAAAACAGACACGTAATACTTGTGTTAAAATTGAAGTTATGTACTGTTAATTGTTATATTAATTGACGAATATAGGTAGTCGGTACTTACTATTATTTATTTTAAAAACAAATGGGATATGACCAATTAAAAACAGGTACCGATTTCAAACTCTTTCTATTTACAATATACTCAAGTCTTGCTTAAAAATTAAAATATCGAGAAAATCCAAATGTGCGTCCACACGAGAGCACGCACAAGCTGAACATGACGTGTGCTCGCTACGTGCGAACACAAATGCTTGTACTCTGTTTGGACGTTGACTCACACAGCTTAATATTTGTGTGTCAAATATGCGTCTCATGTATCTTCTAAAAAATAATTTAATTTTTATCGAACATGAGCGTAAAGTTAAAAGTGCTGCGTTAATGTTATTACATTACATTAAAAAACAAAAAAATTACAAGTCGACAACATAGAAGATGGGGACCACTTGTATAAACAACGAAAGGCTGAGCCTAATTTATTCAATCATTTACAGTTTGACAAAACTACTGGACAGTTAGAAAACTATGTTCGTATGGCATCAGAAGACTGAAGTTTTGCTGTGCAAAATTAGATCAAAAATAATAAATAATTACACTAAAATGAGAAACGCAGTTCCAGTTGAGAAAATATGAGAAAAGGTTTTTATCAAAGTTATTTATTCATATTTTCTTTAAACCCATTTGATCATCACTGTCATGATATTCATAAAAAGTTATAGACAGAGAAATGGAAAGTTGCTGCTAGAAATATGATAGTAACGATTTTTTTTCGAAAACAGGGGTACTTAATCTGAGTAACGAGAAGCATGATTGGTATACAACATTTGTACCATATGACTTCTACATACATTAGAATGAATTTTGTATTAAATTACACGGTAATTATATTTTTATCAAAGTTATTTATTCGTATTACATAGTAAATAATTATAAAATGTAAATACATTCACAACTTAAAACATATGCGCGCTTTTTTTCATTATTTTGGGAAATTATATATAATATATATATATATATATATATAAATTATTATTACTTATTTTATAAGTTTAAAATTAACTCTGTCAACTGGTTGTATAGTTGCAATATACGGTGCTAACGCAGGTATACCTTTGTATTTTGTAAGACAGTTGTTAATTTCATGATAAAAAATAAAAAAAAACAGAAAGGTAATAATTTACAATACAATAAAATGTTGTATATTTTGACACACTATAAGTTATAAAAAAAATATTGCACATAATGTAAATAAAACTAAATAGGTAGGTGATTTCGTACAATTAAATCATTTTTTAAAATTAGATATAATGTAAATAAAAGCGATACATAATATTAACGAAATAAAAATAATTATTAATTTCTTAGTCTTAACCTAATTTGATTATTAGAAAATTTAAAAATACACTACATATTTTACTTAAAAATAAAGGACGTTTTATACATTTTAATTTAGTAACTACATTTTCACAAATAAATAATGAACAATCGTCATACGTCAGTAGGTAATAAAAATATGAAATCATCACATAGTTAATTATAATTTTAAATTTCATTAATATTTTATGACTTTACAAGTATCTAATATTTATAAGTATTTTGAAACTAATAAATTAGAATACACCTTAATACAATAAAACATGTAAAGTTTATTAAATAAGTAAATATAATAATACTTTAAAAATAGATAAAGCTGCGATTATTTGACAATGTGAAATATTATAAAGTGAATTATGTATGTTCAATAATTATTATATCAAGCCATTTATATAAAATTATAAATTATAAAACAATTATTAAATAGACCTAAAAGTGAAAATTCCAAACTAAAGTTGGTGATCATTATTTTTTATACATTTGTAAATTTTTAACTACCTAGACAATGTGCGTTAATACAATATAGTTATAAAGATCACTGTAACAGTGATGTATCTTATAAGAAAATTAAAACCATTAATTTATTAAATAACACCCTCAAAGGGTAATGAGTAATGACTAATGAGATATAGAAATACATAAGCATAGAAGTCATAGAACAATGAATTATATTAAATATTACATTCCTTTTTTCCCATTTACAACTAATTCAAATGTGTTAATGTTTGTAGATATAGTCGCGAATTTAGTATTTTACAATTAAAAATATACAAAAATGTATTTAGAATCACAGCAATTAGACTAGAAAAATATTGTTTAAATTTAATATTTACAATTTTAAGTTATGCTTATGAGTTATGACTATGCCTATATAATTAAATTATAATTTTTGTCAATATTTGAAACTGCATATGAAAGAATATAACTAAACATGACGATGGCAATTCAGTTACTTGAATAGTAAATAATTAACTAAAATTGATCAAATTAAAACTGTATGGAAATGGTTTTTTTATATTATTATTATTGTTAGTATAGAGCAGTCTATGGTTAAACTATTTTTAGTTTTTACTCTAATATATTTTTGTGATCAATATTTTAAATTTAAATAAACATCAATAAAATGTTAAGATTGTTAAGATATTTTAATATTTATATAATTATATCACAATGCTTACTCTCAATTTTTTTCCATATTCATTGTACTACACTAGTATATAATATGAAATGTATAAAAAAATATTACTTCATAATTGTATATAATACACAAACTAAAAAAAAAATAAATAAAATAAATATATTATAGTTCTGTATAAAATATAGAAATCTTTCAGTAAATGCATTCAGTGTATTAGTAATTGCACAAAAAACCTCAAACGAGGTGAAAATAACTTAAATTAACTTGCAAAAAAGTTTGAAAGATTCCTAAAATTATTGAACGAATTTCATTTAGTACACATTTTAGTTAATTATTAGTGTTGTTTATTTAATTAGTACTGACGCCTGACAAAAATAATAATACTTGATTATATATTATATTATTTATATTATCATAAAAGTAAAATATTATAATTATCAAAAATTATTTATTAGATTAAATTATTTGGCAAATATGTTTAGTGACTTGGTGTAATGTAGCATACACAAATAGAATATTTTGTATTTTAGGAACATTGAAAATGTTGGCATCTTATAATTGTCAAATTATTATGATAGTAGGTATTATAGTTTTACTGAGTATGTTAATTATGTACCTACATTATGAATATTAAGTTTTAATTTTACTCATTGTATATTATTATACTAATAAAACATTTTTAGAAAGGTATGTCTGCAAAATGAAGATTTTATATAGTTAGACTACATACTAGTGTACTACACTAGGTAGTAGGTACACTATAGTCTAAATTAATTAATACACCTATATAAGTATAGTAATAGTTATGATGACTAGATACGAAAAAATAAAAAATAAGTTTTAAATTTCAGTTCCTCCATTATAAAAATATTATATTTACGAAATATAATTGTAGTAAACAGTAGTGGTTCATTCATATTAGGTCAAACCATAAAATATAAATATTATAAAAGATAAAAACATTAGTCTATGATATTTTCAAAACACAAAAATACAATTTTGTGTACTTAACACTACAAAATGCAATAAGCTAACATCTCTGGTTACCATAACTATATTAAGTTGAATAGAAGAAAAAATGTAAAATTATTTGTTTGATTTTTTGGTTTGCAACAGGCAACAGCTCAGACCGCTCAGAAGTCAGAGTGTAATTGTTTTCATCATAATAATATTATTTTGAAATTGGTGCATTTTTATTTTTCCAGTCTTATTAATAAAATACGAAAATAGCTAATATTTAATTGTATTAAACAAAAATTATTAAATTTATATTTTTGGATAAGAGTGCGTTTTAATGGGTTTGGGTAAAACGGATTTTTCAACCGACCATATGTTGGTTAGCGATAGGAATGGTCAGGAATCAGTTACGCTACACACGTTTTTAAATCGCGAATAACAATCGCATAAAATAGTACCATGTGCATTTAGAATATTTAGAAGTCGATATCCAAATGAAGAATAAACACACGTGTTCGGTCACAATCAAACGTTAAAATTAAACTATAATATATTTTCAATGTATTATGTAGGTACGTAGTCAGTAGTCACATTAAATGTTTTAATGCTTTTGTAGGCATATTTATTTATTATTTCGTATAGAAAACAACGAGGGCATGATTTTAAGGTTAATAATATAATATAATATATATTTAAATCATGATTCCAGTTTTTTTTTTTTAAATTAAACTAAAAAAGTGGAATAAAATAATAAAATCTACTGCGTTAAGAGTTCAAGACGCTGCAGGGAAACCATAGCGTCCTCTTAATGCATATACCCGGGTCTGCTATAACGCATACCTAATGTAAGTCATATAGCTCTAATTCATTATTTATATTCGATTATCTATGCTAATAATAAAAACATAATTTAATGATTATAATGCTCAGTTTATCAAAATATGTTGAAATTATTATATCTAAGATAAATTATTACTAATAATTAAAATTTAACAAATTTAAGGAGAAAATAAGTACTATACTTATTATTTCCAAACTTTCGATTCTAATGGTTTAGAATTCTTAATATCATTCACTGGGTGTATTGCAGACGACAGACAATTATGTTTTGAATCATTGATAATTTCTTCGATATCTTCTTTCCTATAAAATAAACATATAATATATAACATGTACATACATATTTTAGGTATATTATCGATGAAACTGGTGGAAGTAAATATAAATATATCTGTATGTATATCAAGTGAGTAAAGTAATGGGAAAGTAATAGAAATACTCAGCGTAATTTATAGTGCACTACAACTTGCTTGTCTCAACTTTAAACGCGTTTAAAAATAATGTTCTTTCAATATTCGTCATTTATACATCAAAATATTTACAAAAATATTCAGTTACATAGAGGTTAGGTATATTTATTCTTTTCTTCAAAAAATAATATTATTTCATAAATAAACATCATACAGATGAAACATAAAAAATCAGTGAACACGATCTACTGAATAGTAGGCTTTAATATTTTCTTCTGATGGGTATGTTACATTTGAATTCAATGATAAATAATTATGAACGAAAAAACTATTCTAAATAAAAGAGACAGATGGAACATTTTACATTATAATATTTTTTTAAGAAAACCTAAACCCAGACACTTACATTTGTTGTCTCTGACTTATAACTTACAAGTATGTAACAGCAAATTGTAAGCATTTAAACGTCGTTGTTTTTATACTAGAATGAGAACAGATTTATTTTAAAACTTAAAAATAGTAACAATAAATAAAAATATCATAATTAAACCGATATACTATACAGACGATACGTAAACTGTTGAAAATAAATTTAATATGCTACATACTTATAAGTTGGAGATAACATATGTGAGTAACTTATAAATAAAATTAGTCTTAATATTTTGAAAAATATAATGTGCATAGAAATTAATAATACGTAATGTGAAAAGTTTTAATTTTAAACTTTTAAATCCCTAAATTTCTATTTTAGATTTAAATACTAAATTTTATCAAAAAACATCAAACACTTAATAAAAAAGTAGATGGTGGATACCGTTTTGCTGTATATTAGGTCCATTAGGTGTCAAGTAGGTCACAATTTTTATGGATGTGTTAAATTTGAATTCAATGATGTATTAAAATTTATAATATATGAAAAATGATATTGAGCAGATACGGTCTGTCAGCCAATATCAATAATTATATTTTACATGATTTTTTTTTTTTTCATAACTATCATAGTCATTTATATTATTATTTTTAGTATTACAGTAAGTTAATACATTTTATTTTGAAAATATTACATTTATTTCAGTATTAGTATTTGATTATTATAATAATAATTATTAAACTATATTTATATCACTTTATATAACTTAAAATGTAATAACATTTTATGTGAATAACGTAAAACAGTAAAAATAAATTCATGGTACCTATAAATAGATAATATTTCAAGATAAATCAATAATGTTATTGCGTATAATATAGTACATGTATAATTCATAATAATTTATGCCTACAACGTAAAAATTTAAAATTCCTACGAATAAGGTTTTTAAATTATAACAAAATAATTAACATTGATCTTTATCATTTAAATAGGTGAGTTATTTCGTCTAAATTTGAACAAAATCTCTATAAAAAAATGGTAATTAGCCATTACATATTTATTCAATTTAATGGTTTCAATAAAAGTATGTATTTATGAGTAATTCTTTATTAAATTGTTAAAAATTATATATAAAATAATGGTTTTTATGAATTTTTAACTACAGAATAGTTTGCAATTTTTTGTGATATTTACAAATTTCGTTAAAATTCTAACTTTAAATTCATATAAAAAATTGTTACATATTTTTAATATTTTTATACAGATATGAAAATAAATTATGAGGGAACTTGAATTACATTTTCAAGAATATTGATCCAGCGAGTAACTTTTCATCAATAATAACAGAAAAAAAAATGAACATTTATTACGTCCATAAATATCTTAAAAAGGAGTTAAAATATATTGAAAATTTTATCACATAATAAAAATAATAATATAAACATTTGGTGAAAATTTCATGTTTTATTTTTCGTCTTTTAAATATAATAAAATAAAGGAAACAATTAAGTGAAAAACAAGTTAAGCTTAAAGATTCTCAAATTTTTACAAATCTAAAGTCACCCTTAAAGTTGATAATAGAAACATTTTGTATACTTCTTATGGTGTACAGTGTACATACTACATAGAAAAAAACATAATTGTAAAATCAATTCATTTATCATATTTTGGAATCTTAAAAAAAAATTGAAGCTGCATTTTTATATTTTCGAAATTCTATAAAACAAAATTTTGAAAAATCTTATATTAAATGTTAACGTGATATATTAACGTATAATTTTTATATATTTTCATTATTATTATTATCACCGAGAAACAGATACTTTATCGACGTAATAAATCTAAAATTGCAAATGTCAAAAATCTATTTATAAAAAAAAATAAAAAAGTAAAATATTTAAAATATTATCATACCTAGAAAAAACTAAAATTTAGTGAAAATGTCATGTCTTTTAAAAGTTATTTTGTTATGGATTAACTATAGAGATATAAACTAAAATGTTAAGCTGCTTGCTATTTGTAATTTGACAAAAAAAAAAAAAAATCGAGAGTATCTACACTACATACAGATACATTGGTACATGTATATGTCTTGTTTCTACTGAATATAGTTGACATAAGAATGTCGATGTCAATTTGGTATTAGATACGAGGAGATGGGGATAACTGTAGATAAATTTTTTTACCCGTGTAAAAAATAAACAAGTTTCAAAGACAGGAATTATTTATTTTTCAAAGACAGCAATTATTTATGGAGTATACATTTTCTAAATTTTTATTTAAATTATTAATTTTTTAAACTACAGAATTGTCATTTACAATACTTTTAGTGATGGATAATAAAGGACGGTGTTTACTGAAATATGAAACGTACTCACGAGTTTCAAGCTTCTCGATGTGTCGATAAAATAGTTAATAAAAAAATAAATAGTTGAAAATAGTTATTTTTATCGTCAATACATTTATTATACAACGGGCTATACCTAATGTTACTAATAGATTACAGTCACCGCGATTCCGATAACGTTCGTATAATCGCTAATTTCCAGAAACCGGTCCCCACCGGTCGACGCGCACACACACGCACACGTGAACGTACCAATGACGTCATGGTAACATTCTCGGTGTTGGACAATTTAACAGAATGACCCCCAGCCATAAGACATATACATGTCAAAAAAAAACAAGTAAAGATTTTAAAAGAAGTACTTAAATAAATAGATTATATGATTAATTGTTTTAAGAAATTAAAAATTACCTGGCATGCATGAGAAATAAATTAAATAATTTATGTGGCAGGCAATTTTTTGAAGTTTCGGGAGTTGCATACATTAAAGTGTCGTAGTTGTATTTCAATAAAAAACTTTCCAATAGTTGAAGTATTTCCATTACTTTTTTATTTGACAATGAAGATTTAGAAACCTATAAAATATATAAATGAATATTATGTAATTTTTATTTTATAAAAGTACCTACAAAAAATGCTAATATAAAATATGTATGATCCATCAACAATAATAAAATTATGAGCTAGAGCCTGTTTTCCAATTAAAATAATTTTAAAACCCATAAGCTAATACACTACAATAAATTTAAGATTACAGGATATTAAAATATTGTTAAGAAATTCCAATAGATTAATTTTTTTAAATATTTTGATAAGCGTTAATTATAAACATGTAGGTCATCTATATAAATTATAAAAATATTATAAAAGAAATTTTAATCTTTTTTGATTGTCTGTAATAAGTAATAGCTAGGATTTATATGCAATAAAAAATTGCGAAATATGCATTTGATTTATTCAATTATGCAAAAATATACAATTATTATGATATATTAAACGATCTTCTGTTATACCTTAATATATGTTCTTATAAAGAGGTATTTTTGAACATCGTCAATATATACTGTCACACAATAAAGACGTCTAGTCTAGCAACAAAATATATCATAAAACTTGCATTTTTCGCGTTTTTGTAATGAAAATATGCAAAACTAAGCAAAATAAAAACACCACTGTATATCATCATGAGGTGGATATTACTGACAAAAGCTATAATCAGAAGTTGTAAAACAAACATACTATAGCATATAAATCCTAGCCCTAGTAAAAAGTAATGAAAAAACAAAATAAAATATTCATACTAAATAATTTAGTTTAAAATTTGATTATATAAGTATAATATTTAGAATTTAGATTATAGATACTTGAATTATTATAAAGAATTATTGGTAATTATTAGTACTTACTAAGTATTAATAACCATCATAAAATATTTATCAATCAACAATTATTTTTATTTAAAAGAACCAATAATTTTTAAGAAATTTTTTTAGTTTAAAATATTTTATAATAGTTTAAAAAAACGCAACTTTATTGTTAACTAACCTCAATTTTTAAAGGAACACTGAGATTTTTTGAAGCTTTTATTAAAAACATCAAAACAAGATTGCTTGATAAATTGTCATAATTTTTCTCCAAAGCGCATTTTTTTAATAAAGCGGAAATGTAAGTCAAATATAGAGCAAAGGTTTGCCGAGCCTGTAGATTACTGAAATGTAAGCAAAGTTAGACATGATAACAAGTAATAACTAATATTAAATATACTATGTAACATACGGGTTAATAAATTTGGCATTATTACAGAAAAATATTCAAAAAAGTATATTAAACCAAAGTGTTAATTAATTTTAAAACATAATAATATAATACCTTTTGAATATAGAACATAATATAGATACAGTAAATTCTGTATTTATATATAGCTTAAAAAATATTAACTTATAATATTTTTTAATTTAAAATGTTAGTACAGAATATGTTTTAAAAATTATAAATCGTGGAAAAAATATACATAGTAATAGGCTAAAGCAAATATAATTTCCCCATCACTATTTTATTTTTTTAACTTTAAAAATATATAACTTTTTAACGAACAGGAACAAATAACCACAATAATTTTAAGGGTTAACTTATGTAATATTATGGACTTGTTTTGAAAACTTTGTTAAAAAGTGTTTTTAAACACATCTATAAAATCAATAAGATTTTCTTAATATCAAATATAAGTTTGAAATATGAAAATAATTATTTTTTCGAACATATAGGAATTTAGACTATTGGGCATTTATAAGTTATAAATGCATAATTGATCGTTTTTATCAACTAAATGAATAATGAATATCTTCAATAGAATTACAATATTGTTGCATAAAGTGATTGGTATATAATTTAAAATATTTTGTACAGACATTTTATAAAATATACGAGTTACTATTTAAGAGAAAAAAACTGTTTTTTTTGAAAATATAAAAAAATACATAGGTTCTGGTACGTATATATTTAAAAAAAAATTTAACAGAAAGTTGTACTAAAATACATATAGACTAAAAATGTACCTATCTATTTTATCGTAAAACGATCAGTATTTATGTAATATAAAAAATAACTAAATATGGTTAATTAGTAGCGTATAATAAAATAATGGTTAATTCATTAGTATAACATATGCATGTTTAAACATAACCAATACGGCTATACCAGGGGTCACCAATTAATATTTTTGAAAAACCACTTTGGTAATCTGAAAATTTTTCGCGGGCCATAAAAATTTTAAGTACATATTTTTAACATATAATAGGTATTATTTTAAAATTGGATGTCATGAAAACATCGTTTTTTTTTAAATTTATTATTTATTATTGTTTATAAACATAAAGAACATAATCAATATTAAAAATATTTGAAAAAATTTAAAATAAAAATTAATTATAAATAAAATAAAAATAAAAAATTATTTAATGATGTTAAAAATATTTGAAAAATTATACTTTGTCTGCGGCTCGTATAAAATGTGTTCGCGGGCTACCATTTGTTGACTACTGACCTATACAATTTAATAATTTATAAAATAATTTTTTTTTAAATATTTACCTAAACACATATCCATCGTTTAAATATTTTAAAATTGCTTTTTTCAACTTTAACATATCAGTTGTTTGATCCACATCTTTATTGTCTGAAATATTAATATTATTTCAATTTATTTTTTTATTCTCTTGTAAATTGTATAAAATTAATAGTATATATTTTTATAACCATTTAAGTTTTGTTTAAAATCTTTTAAAGACCTTTCATAGCGATCTTGTTTGTTAATATCCATATAAAACGAGGAGTTTTCATTGAATAAATGATCATTTAAAAAATAATTATAATTTCTTATTAGCTTAATATAAAATGGTGGTATAGTGGATCCCCTAGGAATGCCATTGATATTATCTGTAAATAAAACATTAAATAAATTGCTATAACATTTATTTTAAATTGAAATAACATTTTTACCTAAATAAGAGGAATATTTTTTCCATGATAAGTATGTAGGGAAAATTCGTATAAACCCTCTGCTCCTTTGATTTTGATCCATCGTATTTTTCAATAAACGTTTTTCATCACTACTGAGATTATTAATATTCATACTAGAATTGGTTTTCCTTGGAATATCAGATTTTGGTCTTCTAACATTTCTACAAAAATAGTTAATATATTACATAATACAAAAACAAATTTCTATAGTTCAAAATTAAAATTACCTATTAAAATTGAAGACAGTAGGGTCAACGATTGGAATACCAATTAAAGTAAATAAATCACATAGCATTGAACTCTTAATACGAGAATCAAGCGCTGAATCTATCCCCAATGATGGCGATAGGTTAACTTCAAGTAGCCATGGTTTAAACTTGTCGTCCACCAAAATATCAAACCCGTATAATTCTACAAAATAATACACAAATAGTTAAAAATGGGTTCATTTAATAAAAATTCATTAAAACAAAAAAAAAATTAACATTGATTCCTTTCCTTATACTTTAAGATAACACGAAAACAATTTTTTTTCGAGCTTAGGTAATAGAAAATATTTAAAATTATTATGAATGTTTAAATTTAGCTATCCAATTAACACTAAAAGATTACTATAGGCATTTAGACATTTAAAACGAATTAGAAATCTATTGTTTTATTATTAGTTTCTTCAGTTTTAGAATCATTACTATTTATTAAAAAATAATTACCAAAACAATTTTGACTGTGAGGTACAAAGCAATTGATTGCTGGTAACATCTGTGCAGTAGCACTCATTATTGTTTTAACTACAATATCTTCAATTTCAGCCATTAAAGTTTCAGTATTAATAAAATATTCTTCTCTAAGATGATTTAAAAGAGCACTCATCGACCACTTATGGCCTACATTTTCTCGTTCAGGATCTAAATTTCTAAACCATAACAGTTAGTAATAATATATTAAAATAATTTTATATTATAATGCGATTCTTCTAAAGGTAAATTACTTATCTTCTCAAAAAGTATTAGTTTAGATTTTGAGTGAAGATATCTTAATATATAGTATATATTTTTTTTTAATTAATGTACAGTAAGCCGTAAGGTCAATTATAAATATTAAATAATCATGAAATACAATATAATATATATGTTATATAAATATATCGAATAGAAATATTATCTGATATGGGTATTTATTTTTTAACGTTTCGGTTAAGTCTAAAAATATAAGATTTTGTGTATGTCACACACTCTCACTGTGCATTTACTTGTATTCATTATTCGAATCGTAGTTGTGTTGGTGTGTGAACGTTTTGAGTGTCCGCCAATACTTAACACGGTCATTGGAAGTTGATTAAAACTTAAAATTATCAATAATTTTTAAAATGAATAAAAAAATGTCCCGACTTGATGTTGAATTAAACATTAGACTGGGAATAATTCAAAAGTGTCCCTCCCCGCCCAGATGACACCAATAGGACCTGAACTTATTTCATTTTTGTAACATAGTTCATTTTAAGATATTGTATTGTGTCATCAGTAACGCGTAATGCGGAAGATACTCGTAATAAGAATTACAATGTTATTTAATGTAATTTGGCAGATCATGTTGGAGTGTAAACGTGACGTAGCATGATTTATTTTCATTAATTTTTACGTTTCATTTTTATTATCACTATCATAGAATATAGTATTACTTGAGTAATTATAATTTGTAATATTTGAGTGGATTTTCATAGACAGACAAAATATTTTTCTAGTCAGCAGGCTAACTGATTAACTCAAGAGTACGTGCAAATAGCTTCCAAAATGAAGGAGCCCTAGTTTTTAATTCTGAGTACTTCGCTCTGATGAATATATAAAAATACAAAGATGTGTTTTTTTTCTCGAAAATTTAGTAACAACATTTTTTATAAGCGTTTGAATATAAAATTATAATAAAATTCATAAAAATTGTGAAAATTAGTAAATTATTTTGTAGTTGGAAATTAATAAGAATTTTTATTTTTATACCTAAGATTTGAAAACGTAATACAAAGTTCTTTATATATTTTCCACCTTTTAAAAAAAAGTTTGTATCGGAAAATCAAATTATTTTTTATGAAGTTTGAATTTAACAATAAATAACGATGTTAATTATTTTCTTAATTGTTATGATTTAAAAACATTATTTTTTATAATAATGTTTATAATTTTTATAATTATTTACATAATTTATTTTTTCAGAACTGATGATAATAAATGATTTCAAATTATGTAAAAAAAAAATATTTCCAAATATATTAATATTTTTTGAGAAAATGAGTGTTTACCATTAAAATATTCATCTTGAATAATACATAACATCAATTATTATTGTATACAAATAAATTATAAATCAAAACATAATATCAATATTATTAGATTACACTGATTTTAAAACGTGTAATCTAATTATTTTTTAAATCAATTAATTTAACTAATAATTATTTCTGCAGTGCACCAAAACACCAAGTCGCCGTACTCAAAAGTGTTCTTTGTCTTACAAGTTTGTTGAAGTTCGTACTATAAAAAATGTACGTGCTGGATTCTTATACTGCTTGTAGTTACTATTAGAGAAAATGTACTTTTAAAAAAGTAGAATTTATTGAAAAACTTATACAATTAATTTTAAAATCAATATATTAAAAAAAACTTCGCACGACATTTGATTTAATCTAAATAACTAAAAAAATAAACAGTAATAACTGTATCCATTACATCGAATTGCTATATGTTAGGCTGTTACGCCAAAGAAATCAGACTTTGAGATCAAAATAATTTTATCAAAATAATATAATTTAGAATAATAAATACAAGAGGAACACGCGAGAAATGCAAATATCAATATACTTTGATATTCTACGAATAATCGTTTTCAAACGCATACCTAGTACCTACCTATTGGCTATTTCAACCAAAACCATCTATGGCGGGTAAACGTCGCGTAGTTATTAAAAATCATGGGAACGCTTGTAGAAACATAAAAAAACTTTCAGTGAGGCTTTCAGCGACCAGCGTAGTTCTAAGCCAATACTTGATAAATATTCGTCAATCATTGTGCTTTACGGTTTAGTTAAACCGTATAGGTATATAGTATGTATTTTTTGATCATAATAGTTCATAATTCATAAAACATAAAGCGATTATTTTTACTTGTTGTGGTTTCCTATTGGTTGTTTGTAAAACGGCAAGAATCAAAGGAATTAAACGTAGAATATATACGAGTTCACTCTCTCGGCTGAGTGCTCGTCACTTGTGAACAAGGCATTATTATTATATGAGCGATATAATCATTAAGTCAAAATATACGTGAAATATATTAATCGGAGTACATATGGTGGTGGAGTCGACTTAACGCGTGCGACAGAAAAAACAAATGGTACGGCGTCCTCTTAGCAATAAAAAAAATATAATTAGTTAAGATTTTAAAATTAAAAAAAATAATGTTCAAAATAAAATACAATACCACGCATAATTGAAAGTTTACCTACCTAATATAACTTGGGCTGCTTTTGTTAACGCTATAATTACAAAGATGCATTCGTCGATTATTGATTCGATTTCTATCGCGTACATATTTAACAGTTGCAAATCTAACTAATCCTTCTTCGTACAAGTATACAACAAGTGGATTGAATGATGTAACTAATACGTACAAACGTAAATCCCACTTATATCCATTCACCAACAGTGGATTGTCAATATACTTGGCAACAACGACATTTTCCTTCAACGTCGATTGAGTGTCCTTAAACGACTGCAAACAATATCCCGACATTATTATTTAGGGGTGTAATAATAAAATTAATAATTCAATAATAGCATACGGTTTTTAGAAATTACATAATCAATAATTGTTATTCCTCTTCCGCGAGATAAATCGAAAGGCTTTACAATCCATAAACCTCGATGTCGATACTGGTTCGAAATAAATCTATTGTAATCTTTAGGCATAATATATGTTTCAGGAACAAATGAGAACTTTTTAATTCCATTGCGATGGCTCATAATTTCAATATTTTTGTACAGTTTATCTTTGCGAGTCAATTCGCACGATCTAATAGAAAAATGTATTAAATATAATTATTATACATTATAGAGTACATGATTACCACGTTTATATGCAGCAGATAATGCGCATTAGGGAGTGGGTTTATATGCACCTAAAATATCAAGATTAGATGTTGAATAAAATTAAAAGTTAATCCGAATGTTTTTTAGTCTAATAGGCTTTATACTTTTGATTCCATGACCAAAGGCATAGTCCATAGAGATAAGTTACAATATGGTATAGTTTTAAGTGTACATACTTTAATTCGCATTAAAGCGTTTACGCATGCATTTCTTAATCCCAGAGTAAAAGTTAATTCGATTTGACGAGTCGAATTAAATAATTAATGTGCATTAGCTTAATGCGAATTAAAAATGCGTTTATATGCACCTAACTCTCGAATTAACTTAATGCGCATTAACTGCTACATATGAACGTGGTAAGTGTGAGAACTTTTTTTTCTTTATTAAAACAAATCTACAGTCTAAACAGTTTTGTACAATAAATAGGTTTGATAAGTGACATAGGAAATAATTAATATGAATCTTAAAATTAAGGAGGTTATCCAGCGGTAACACCTTACAGAGAGATAATAACAGTGACATTTTATGATTAGAAAGATGTTACTTGGAATAGTAATACCCAGCACTTATTTTACTAACGTACTAACCAAGAAGATCCCTACACCATTTTATTTTTTGTCTATTGAGCAAGTTATTTGGAAGTGTGTTAATTGACAATGTAATGATTAATGGATTTGTGTGTGATTGGAGTTTATTGTGAAATCTGATGTAGTACAATTTGGGGATTTGGTTACGATTTTGGATTTTAAGATTTTTGTAAAGGTTGTGATTGGTAATGTACCAGGGTGCAAAATAAACTAGAAAAAGACATATTGATTAGAAGGCTTAAATAAGTCGGGTGTTGGAAGGTTTAGCGGCTCCCCATCATTGAACGCCGTAGGTTCATAGTAATTTGAGTATAATTGATGAGGACTTGTAAATTAGTAATTTGTTATTAATATTCATTTTGGATTTAAGTAGGGGTCTGAGGAGGCGAAGACGGCTTTTCGTTTATTTTTTATTTGAGGACTTTAAGTTAAAGTGAGGATTAATAACATTTTGATTTATTCAGTTTCAAGAAAACCATATTTTATTGTTTTACAGTATGCGTGAACACTAAACATATTTTATTATGATCAAACATATTATTGTTTTTTAGTTTAAGTTACATTTTACATACAATATAGTATGGAGTATGTTCTATGACCTATACAGTATGCAGTCGTTTTGAAAACGAGCGTTTATAATAAGCTATTACTTTATTAGCTATAGAACGGCCAAACTGCAATGGAACCTTACTCGCCAATGATGCTAGGATAAAATGGTGTATAACATATTATTAGTAGGTATATTACGCATATACATTATATGTTGTGAAAGTCAAAAATAATGAAGGTTATATATGTCATAATATGATATAATTTAATATAGAAAAATAAAAATACAAACGTTGAAGTCATTGAACTGATAGCAATGATATCTACTAAAACTAATAAAAATACTATGAATCAATCAAAATAAGTCTTGAACTTTAAAATATCCAAGAAATAAACAAAATAATTGTTTTTAAGATAAATATTATTATTCTTAAATATTACATTGTATCATTATGTAATATATTACCTATAATAAAATTATTATATTACACAGTACAGGAAACGCTCATAATAAGTACTAACGATTTTGAAATATTTTTTTTTTTAACTTGAATTTATTGTTAAAACATTTTATATAAGCGGAATAGAACAAAACTGTTTGTAATTTAATCGTAAATGTTCATAAAAAAAAAATAACTTATTGTTCAAAATTATATTTTTCACATAAAAATTCGCAGAAAAATGTTCTGCCTTAAAAATTAGATTTAAAAATAAGTATTATGTTTCAAAAACGTAAGGAAAAAATAATAGCAATAAAAATAATGATACATCACATTTTTTTTTTTTTAAATGCAATTTGTGATGAATCAAAGTATAAAAAAAATATTTTCAAAAACGTTAATATATGGCAAGATAATGAGTGTTTTTAAAATAATCGTTCAGTATTATATTCACTATATTGTATATTATGCACGAAATTGTATTATTTTTCACTTAAATATAACGGTAAAATAATTTTTACATAATACATTCTTAAAAAATTATCATTTGTGTAAATTAGTAGTTAAATAATTATAAAAATATGTTTAATAGATAGGTACAACAAAATTAAACTATAAATATTAATTTGTTTTAGGTTAACATTTTTACGTAAGGTCACTTAATTATTAATTTAACAAAGTGATTTTTCAATTGTTCTAGTTATATTCCAATATTATTTTATAACATAAATGCGTAAAAGCAGACTACTTATACAAAACCACAAAAATTATTTTTCCATCTATTTGTTTTTATTTTATACTTAATTATAATTTGTTCGCTTATTGATAAATAAAATACAATTGAATTATTGATGTTTATCTAATAAAATAAATAATTACCTAGGGAAGTGATTGATACGTTGATAAGACCTCAATGAACTGATGACATTTGTGTTAACATGGTTATTTGACCATAATAGATTAAAATCATTGGAATCAGAATTGACCTGCAATAATATAAAAATAATGTATGAATAAATATATAAACTAAATACAAAATGTTTTTAAATTTTTTTATTATATTTTAATACTGTAAAATTTTGTAGATAATAAACTATTAACTAGGTAATTAAAGTAATAATAATTTTTTATATAATTAATTCTTAATAGTTTTAATATAATATATTAATTACAAAATCAATGATAATAAACTAATAAAGTAATAACTAAAAACTAGGTAAAGGACTTATAGAATTTAAACATTTTACACAATTACAAAAACAACCGTGTAAGGACAAATACATTTTATGTTAAGATAAACTTAGAGAATATTATTTTGCGTATATTTGTATATTTTGTGATTTTTTGAGAGCTACAATTATGATCTGTCTGTAAGTTCTACACTCGCAATTATTATAATTCATACATATATTTTTATATAAACAATAAAATTTATAATTGATCATAATTTTCTACATAGTAACGTTAACATTCATTTTTAAGAAGTTTGAGAAGATGCACACCATCCGATTAATTTAATATGTACTAACACAGGTTTGAAATAATTGTGCAAAGAAAAATACTAACTGTTTTATAATCTACTAATAACCCAATTAATAATATACTATTTAAGAAACGACTTCCCTGTTTAACACAGCACAACGTAATAAATAATAATTATACGCATTTATTTTTAAAGGTACCAATATTGATATAATGAATCAATAATAATTATGAAAAGATATTTAAATGTTCTGTCAGTCAAATATATAGTATAATTAAGATATATTTTTCTTTAAGATTTTCGATTTTATTTTATATTGAAATCCCCTAAACCATAAGGTAAATTATCAAAAAAAAAAAAAAAAATAGAATTTTAAAAATGAGCACATTTTTTGAGGAAAACTTATATCAAGATAATTTACACGTTAATAATATTAAACACTAATAAACTTATATTTTTATACTTATTAACTGTGGCGCCGAACTAAATTTTATCAATAAAATTCAAAATGTACCTGCCCACCTGAGCAATTTAAGCAGCGCGATGTGAAGATTCGTTTCCTCCACGCCCCCCTACTTATAATACACAAGTACTTCATTTATTATCAATTATAATTTATAATTATTAAAAATAAGTTGTGGTATTATACTTATTGACAGATGGTGGTCTCGGGGAATTGAGAAATATCGTCGTACAATAACGATTTTATTTATATACGAACTATTACGTAAATATCAGCTACAATTAATAGTTGGACAAAGTTAGACATTTAGTAGAAGTTAGAAGAGTACTAAGTAGAATAAAATGTATACACAATGCACTTCATAAAATAAGTATATCTAAAATACTGATGATGATGAACAATATTATTTTTAATCATAATACTCAAATTTACTCAATACCCACCCACTTACTCTCCCATTCAAACAAGGTGTGTGGTTGTTCCCCTCCCCTGATACACTGCAGTTATAAATAATAAATAATAAGTATAAAAGTATACTTCATTATGCTATTTATTAGTATTTAGTATATTTAATCATATAGGTACTATGTATGACTATAGATTAAATATTTAATTTATGGTATGACTAATATAGTAATACCTATTTCACTCTGTATTCCACTTTTATAAATACAAATGATTCCAAAACCGGGAATTCCGTAAGACAATAATGCTGTCTACTACGTAAACAGAAGACTATATTACGGCATTGTACAATATTTTACCTATTTGTTATGGCACACAAACGATAACCATTAAACACTACTACTAAATAATAACAAATGTCAAATAGTAATAAGTAATAATTCATACGTAATATGGATAATTCGACTGAAAAAAGGCTGTTTAGTTGAAATTCAGAGTGGACAGAATATGTTTAAATTAAGTACTTAGGCAGTAGGCTTACATGTACATTAAAAAGGCTACATTTCCAAATCCATGGTTATAAAATATTGATCCATTTCTCTGTTCTTGAGAGTCGAAATTGGGATTTGTTTGATATGGACAGATAATGAACATTTATTGTTACTTGTGGGATTAGTTAATCTTAATTTTAAGCAACTATTAACTATTAATAGAAATATAATTTGGTTTTGCATATTATAATAATTCATTTTAAATTAAATTTGCTTAAACTTAGTGTAAAAAATTTTAAAGATTAATTTTTTTTTTCTATATATACTAATTAATTATTATACAATATAGACTATAGTTACCTACACCAATTACTTCGATGTAAAATAAAATTACGATTCACACGGCCCGGTATTTATTATTAATAACTAATTGTTCAATTTGTTATTTGTTACGCATACAACGTATATTTTATGGAGTAGTGGTAAACTACGTACAACAATCATGAACTTGAATTAAACAGAGGTTCAACTGACTACTAGTATTAGTCAATAAGGTAGTCCTGTGAATATGTCTGTGCGTCGAATTCGTAAATAACTCGGCAGTTTCTTTTAATTTGTTTAAAGTCAGGAAGATTAATAAAATCTCTGTTACCGTTTTGTATTGTTAAATCAGAATCAATACATGACGGTGATTTTATTAGTAAGTTGACATTATAATATTAAATATCATTAAGAAAATTAAATTACTTTAAATTATAATAACTATTATTAATTTCATACGCTCTAGATAATAACAACGTTTTAATAATAAATACTGACTTAATAGTTATCACTCATTATACATTGTATAAATATTATTTACAAAAATAATAATATAATATGGGTAATTTTAATCTAGTTTATTTTTAAATATATTAAAATAGAAAAATAAGAGTTTGAAAATTTATCATTTTGTGATTCAAATGGTGTACACTATACTCGTACTGTTATTAATATTTAAAGGAATCTACATAATTTTTAAAAACTAGAAAAATTAAAACAAATTTAAAATTTGTATCACTAATAATTCACAATTTAATTCAGAAATTTATAATCTTGAACATAAACAAGCGTTGATTTTGATTTAGGTGTAAAATATAGAATTTAGTAGAGTATAATATGACTAATTACATAATAATTAAAAAATCACCATTTATTCACAGTAACTATCGATAATAATAATAAATGTAAACACAATAATATTATCTAATTGAAAGAGACATTGGTACCTTATAAATTATAATAGATTAAATAATGACATTTACTATATTAGGATATTTAATACACGTATGATTATTGTTACAAAACATAGAATATTGCATGAAAAAATCTAAGTAAAATATTAATAATAATAATAATTTCATAATACTCATAATCTATACGAAAATAAACAACTTAATTACCTATTAGAGTAGTTTAACACTCAAAACAAAATGATATGCAACGTATCGGAAAAATAAACCATCTAGTCATATGCGAAACTAGATACTTTTATTAGGGCAGGCCAAATGAAAAATATAAAAAAAAAACTTCTATTAACAACTTTATATAGTAATTTTGTTTAATGTATGTATATATCTATATATATAACTATATAAGATTAATTTATATAGGTAGTTTTAAAATTATTTCTAAATGTTTTCATAAAAATTTTGACAATTTACATATACTACTTGTGCTGTATCACGTATTATTAAAAATCACTTTATCATGTTATATTATAATCCCCATTTGTATCTATATACTTTATTATATAAAACGTATAAATGTATACGTTTACATGTATAAATATATTATTTTTTAAATTTATAACGTCTAAATAAATATTAAAATATATAATATATACAAATTTGTAGTCAGTATTAGGTCAGGCCATAGCCTGATCCATAATTTCGCCTATGCATGTAGTATCAAACATTAATATATTTTTTCTCTTTATTATAGACTTAAACGATTAATATCTAAATTGAATAATATATTTTATTAATTGAAAACATAACAATTAATCAATAATTATAATTGATTAAAAGTATACGTATAATAATTAAAATTAAAATACTAGCATTTTTAAATTATAAATATAAATATCATAATAGCTTCAGCATATTCTATTTGGTAATTTACAGCGATTATAAGCAGCATAATGATGCATAAGATGCTAGGTAAATAATATAATAAATAAACTACTTACAACACGTATTTTAAAATTAAAATAAAATTATACCAAATCTATAAAATTTAAATTTTAAATAAATTTATCACAGTAAAATAATATATCTACTGCAGCAAAAATTAAATCAAAGTAAAAAGCATTAATATTGTACAGATTTAGATTTAGATTTTTTTTTATTCACATTTCTTGAGATAGTAAAAATTTTCATGTATAATCTTTACTGAAAAACGATTAGTATTTTATACAGAAAATTTAAATAATTATCGGATTTTACTAATTTTCAAAACAAAACAAGTTTTTAACAAAATCCTGATTTTTCTTTGTCGTTTTAATTATAATTATTTTTAAAGGTAACGTTAATATAATATGTAGAAACAATGCTACCTTACCAGTATAACTTGTATTTATTAAAATGAACCGGTCCATAATGTGTGTTGTGCAATAGATAGTATTTATAAAAATTAAGGTTGTTAAATGCTAATATATAAATATTTTTATCCTTACTATACAAATGAAAAAATTCAAATAGTTATATTTTGGTTTATCTACAAAAATAATTTATTAGGTAAATGTTTATAAATTTTTATGCATCAACTCGATTATAAATAAAATAAATATGGTTCACTTATTTTAAATTAAAATCATTCTTTTATATTTTAATACGGGTTTTGTATTTAGTAAATGTCAAATTAAATATTTCCTTATAATTTGTATGTTTAACAAAGACTGTTACAATGGATATCAATAAACCAGTTGTAAACTGGCATCTTAATCGAACTAAGCAATTGAAATAGTTTAATAATGATAAAAAAAACAGCATAATATACTATCTTATTTAATATTAACTTTATAAATATAATTTGTGCTGATTGTAAAAAGTTCCAAATAAATTGTAAAATTAAAAATTAGAAATTAGAAGCAAGTTTAAAATAAAATTTTAATTTAACAACATAAATATTTAAGAAATATTAATTTAATCAAAAGATTTATATGAATTTTAAAACTATACATTAAACGACTAAACCTTATTTTATTAAAATCAGTGAATAAATTATATTTATTAAATATTACATGTAATAGGTTTCCTATAGTTAAAATGATGAAAACTAGAACATGATAATAATATTATTTATCATAGTAAAAACATAGAATATAATAATATAATATATTTTAATTTATAATAAAGGAACCTTGACTTTCGTGATCGTTAATGACGTTAATACACTTAAGCGCGTTATTGTTGATAGTGATGTTAATCATATTAGTAAGTAACAAGATGACTGATAAGTATGAAAAATATAAAAATATCTTTACATACTATGATAAAGCATGCGCGTAATCTAAATATGTGAATGATTTTAGAAATTTTATTTTTTTTAAATTAATAGTGGCAACTTACTTAATGTTTTTTTAGTGATACGATTATGAAATTATAATGAAATAATAATTGTATTAAAAATAATGTATTATTATAAACAAAACATAAATGAATAGTTTACACAACAATACTATATTTTAATGTTTGACAAATCGTCTTAGTAAAACCCTGCACTTGTATAAACATTCTGAATTTATTTAACATAAAATTTAATATAAAATATAAAAATCTTTCTTAAATTTTAGATTTAAAATCATAAGAACTATTAAATATAAAAATGGTACAAGCCGTTAAAAATATCAAATACTCAATTCTGTAGACAATGTCAGACCTTTATTTTAAAATGGGTATTTACGTTTTTGGATATTTTTTATTGTTGGAAGCACTCATCTACTGAGTACCGTAAAAAGGGATTTTACAAAACAATAAGAACATGTTGCTATAAAATAAAGTAAAAGATTGAGTTTAACTATAATAAAAGTATAAAATTAGGTGTATACAAGTTTTATATTAAAATCTAAGTTTTTTGTTTTTAAAATATCTATTAGTAATGTATTTAAGATTTTTTTTATAACATAATAGACGCATAGTAATATAACTATGTTAATAAGTAATAACTGATATAAATTATGTAGACCTAATGATATTACAATTATTAATGCATAAAATCATATAATTATTATTAATATTATTTAAATGTGTTTTTTATTATTTTTTATTTTTATTTTTTTCAATCAATATTTGTGTAAAATAATTGTCAATTGTCTTATCTTTCAATATCATATGCAATTGTGAACACAACTCATGAGTTGCGAATACTTAAAAATAAAGTGAATGTGAATAGTAATGCTTTCCGTGTTAGCTATTATTGTTGAGTTTATCACGGCATACATAAATCATCTACTAGTAATATCAATAATACGGAGATATGATTTCGATTTGGTTTCAAGAAAGTCAAAAATATAAACGAATAGAATATTATTAACCATCAGGTATAATATAAACTATTAAAGTTTAAACGATATATTCCTACTGTAAAAAAAAAAAATAAATAAATAAACGTAAGGCTTGTGTGACGAGGCCAGCAAGTTTAGACATATTTAAAAATATGGCACGCATTAAATAATATATTTTATAATTTTGAAGCATATGCCATACAAATATAATACCACCAGTGTGGGCCGTCAAAGTATATCAATAAACCTTGGACGTTATCTGTAATAAAATATTAAACAGCGTCACTAAGCACATTATTATTAATATTGAACGAACAAAACGTGAACCTGACCTGTACTGATAAATGATTACGACGCGTCTTCGCGGAATATAACATATTATATAGAAAAGTGTACACCAATGCACAATAATTAATTTAGAATTCTGAACACATATCCGGAATCGTATTAAAATGATAAATAAATATCACGGAAGTATTTTTTTGTGCAAATTAATTTTTATTGTTAGGACGTTGGATATAATATATTCTAGCCCATGTGTACGTATAATGACGATAAAACATTATGTCCGCCTTAATAATAAAATATTATAAGCGCGTTGCACGCGATATGCGTATTACAAGACAGATGATATTATTTTATTCTTATTGGGTTTTCACTTTTTACTCTTTTACTGTGTAAATTATTATAATGCCCACGAAGGTACGTCGTACGCTAAAAAGTGTACGCCGAGCGTTTATTAATAATAAACAATAAAATTGCACAGGCATTTCAGTATTTCAATAGTAATATTTAGGATATGGGTTTTTATGTTTTGCCCGTGTCATATTATTATGTTGATGTAGAACAATACTACTGCACGGTGTTAGACGATATTGTAATTTATTCAACGATTGGTGTATATATTTTATTGTATAGATATTTTAATTTTTACGCAGCTGTTGCATGTAGCAGACTTCTGTGTAGTGTGTACGAGATACTATATTTTTTACTATATTAATGTAACGCAAGTGTGGGACGGCGGCCACGGTGGTTTTTCAATTGTTTTTTATTAAACAATTAATTTCATGAGACTTGTAAAAGTGTACAAACTATTTAAAGAGCATTATATAGGTTTCGACAAATGTGAAAAAATATACGTACTAGTTAGTTGCCGAGCCCGCAATTACCGTTGAAGAGCACAATTTAATACTTAACGTTTCGATTTAAGAATAATAATAATTGTGATCGTTGTTCTCATACTGTATATCTACGTGACCATTGAAGTCGTCAAATGAAATTTAAGTTTTTAAGATACCAAAAACGGTAACGAATTTGTAGCAGCGGGTCTCTCACATGGTTCGCTATTTTATTCAGAGTTCAAATTTTAATGTGCCTACTATTTTAATTAATTTTGGATACTACGACTACTGAACAACTTCAGACCTAACAGTGTATCACGCATCACAACAAGGGCATGTTAAGTTTTTTTATGATTAAGTATCTATTAGTACGTACCGTTAACCGTTAACGTATTATTATTATTTTAATAAAAATAACAACAATTTAATCAACATTTTATAAAACTCACAAATATTATTATTTATTGGTATAATAAAATATGTCAGTATATTATTTACTTAATCTAAGTATAAATATTTACGTTTTATATGAAAATAATAATTGTCATTCGAAAAATGTATGTAGTCTTTGTGTTGTTGTGTCGTTATTAATTAATATTTTGTACAATAGACGATAAATTAACATTTTGAAAATACAAACTATATAAAACCATAAAAGGTACCTATTTTATAAAAAAATCGATCAGTTTTTAAATGAATTTAAAACGTTAAACAAAAGCTTTAAAAAAATTACTTTAATATCTAGACCAAAATTTTAACAAGATTTATACAGCCTACAGTAATATAGGTACGGTACTTAAAATTTTCTAATATTCAATAAGCATTTTTGAAGCGTATTTTAATATTGTGTTTGATCCGTCATTATTATTTCTATCTTATTAGAACTAATTGGTAACATTGATTTCATATAACAAATAAATAATAGGTTGATAATGAATATAGTTAAGAAATAAACCCCAATTTCGCAGTATTCTTGCAAAATAGTAGTCGGCGAATTTTGGCCGCCGAGTTTTTAAATATTAGTTATATTTTTCGATTTTCCGTAATAATTGTTTCAAACAATTATTATATTTAATCGCAGATAATAACAAATTAATATCGCAGTAACACTTTTCGATTAGTTTAATTATTTAAAAAAAATCACACCAATAAACGCCATGACACTTAATGAACACTCGGCTTTGCCGTTGAAAGCGAGGAATTAAAATTGTCTTTGTTACGACTTTATGAGTTGATATATTATAAAGCGACACACAACTCAATGATAGTAATTCAGTATTTTTGTAGCGATAGTTACTGGCGCAGTGTTTATAAGTAAATTTATATTTTCACGTACTAACACGACGAGCAGTTTAAAATTTGTTGTTTTATTCGAGATCAACACTTTTTTCGCCTCGAGAAATTCGAATACTATTACGTGCGGACGACTGCAACATTTGTTATTCACAATAATAAAATTAGGAGAGAAAAACACGCGCACACACCACTCGTTGTACAAAATGGGATGACAATAACAAAATCATAATTTTGTAGAGGGACCTTCGAATGTTAATAGTTAAACGCCGTACTTACGAATAAATCGTATCATCGCGATAATCACTGATACCACATAAACCATCATAAACCATCGCGGATATGGCCGATCGTTTAATCGTTCGTTATTGTGATTCGGATTCGGCTCGTTAGTTTTATTAATTTCGGCCGGGCAGAAGTAGGCGGGAAACGACTAATAAGTAAAATCTGCACGTCTCGACGGGCGGCGAACGATTGCGTCGGCGTTTGCGCGCGTCTTCGTATAGTGTTTGATTTGAACAACGTATAGGTAATCAACGATGACACAATCGTGACGTGGCGTGTGCTTTTACAGGTCGAGAATTCAGTGACCGAACAGTGAAAAGAAAAATGCCTTGTCGTTACCAGCCGGAAAGTCTGGTGAGCCTTTCGGAAAACAGAGTCGTGTCCGATCTGGTGCACACGTGTTACCAGATGCACGAGCTGGCCAGCCGCAACGGGTTCGCTTCGCCGTCGCAGACGTTTGCGTTCGCCCGACACAGGATCCGGCCGTTTTGGGCCGCGGCCGTCCCCGCGCTCGTCCGCCGCCAGTTGTTGACCAAGTGCATGGCCATGCTGGCGGACGCGATCCGCGACGGTCACTCCGTCAGCGTGGCGGCCGACAACGTACCGCTGAACCTGCTCGGCGTCATGCTAGACGGCGACATCAGGGAGCTCCGGGTTCAACTGTGCTGTTACTACGGGTGCAGCCACCAGACCGCTTTGCTCAAGCTACTGGCGCAAGAGGCCCGGGGCCTGGTGTCTCTGGAGCTGGTTAGACCGACGCTATTGCGCTTAGGTATGTTGTGAACCACCGCCACCATCATATTATTATTATTATTATTATTATTATTATTAACTATTTTAAGGGATCGGATGTTTATGTATACCTACTTAATATTATCGAATAGACTTTACCTAAGAAACCCTGCAAAGTATACACGAAAAAAATTACCAAATTATATTATAATATGCAGCATATTACTTAGCTATAACTATACTTGAACAATATAATCATTGGAATAAAATTAATAAATATGAATATTTTTTTTTTGTTGTCAATTATCGGATATCATAGGAGTTAAAATAAAACAATAATGTAAAGATTGTATTCATAATAAATTAATAAAGAATAAACACTGGAGTCCGAAAAATGCAATATTTTAAATTCTACATTGGAATACGTCATGTGATTTAATAACACATCTCGGATAAATACCTACGTACATTTTATTTACATTTTACATAATACACGTAAACGCGCAATGGACGTGGTATTCGTTTTAAACATGAGAATCCCACCATGACTATATTATACCTTATAAAATGTAAAAATAAAAATGTTTGTAATAAACATAATACAGAAATGTAAATGTATAAACATGAAAAATAAATTAAATTCATTTTGTTATTAATGTTTTATTCCAGGAGTAATGAATATATTGATTTAACAATGATGTATTTTCGCATGTTTATGTACGAGTATCATTACCTTTTTGAACAGTAATAAATAATAATACTTAGAATCTCAACTTCAATACATTTTCTGGTAGAAAAATGAATTTAATTGGTATTTGACAAAGGGAGTCATAAGTAAAAATTGTCTAGTACTTTCTTTAATAATGCACAAAAATAAATTTATGGAAAAATTGGAATTTTACGCAAAACTGATATTTTTGAAAAAATTCTCTTATTTTTATGAGTTCAAAATCGAATAACAATAGACGTTTAAAATATTTTGAATCTTTAAGTTAATTTTAACCTACTTAATTAATATTTTCGAAATTTTTTTTTTTATTTATAAAAATAAATAAACAAAAAAATGTTTTGTTTGATCAAAACCTAAAAATCTACAAATTATATACGCACAATTTTACTTAAATTGATATAATTCAAAAATGTTTATTTACGAAGACTTGAAATTTTTATAAATACATATCGTATATTAATATATTTTATATACATTTTCGAAGCGTTTAGACTAATTCTATCTTATTATATTGTCTAATTATACCATGTACTACAGTGAGTCCGAGTAGGCAAGTTATGATATAAATTATAAATATAAACTATCAAAATAAATAAATATTAATAATATGAAATGCAATGTTTTTTTTAACAATAATGCAGTTATTAAAAATCTAAATTTTTTATTTAATATTTTAGAGTAAAAAATATTAAAATGTACTTAAATATGCATTAATAATTCTAAAACTAAAAAAATTGTAATTATACGCAAAAAAAAATGTATAATATAATATGATTCAGTGGAATATAATTACAAGAATAAAATTTGTTCTTAGACTGATATTTTTAATGGGTGATTTAAACAAAACGTGCAATTTTATAAACATCCGAGCCCTAAGCATGCCCATTAACAATGGTGACAATCGTTAATATTGTTGTTAATTTTTATAATTGACGGGGCGGTAGTCAAAGACGTCGATATCAGTCATCAGATATCTCATTATTAGTCATATAAATATATAACCAAACCGAGAACAATAGACATTACATTGTAGTACTAAGTGATTAAGTGGCATATTTTTAAGCATTCGTGTATAGACTATAGAGTAAACTATAAAACATTGATAACTGTTTGAATTTTTTATGTTGATCTCAAATCACTAAATTATGTTTGAAAATATTTACATAAATTAACTAGTGGTAAGTCAATACATATAATGAATTTTAATAATTATGAAATTCTAAATTATAATAGAAATAAAAAGCGCGATTTTAAAATACATTTTTTTTTTTGCCGAATGCTTGTGCATCACTACAGTCGTTTTTCAAAAATTTTAGATCTATGAACTTAGCCGTATATGTCTTATAAATATATTTTGGCCATTTTTAATACATTTATATTCTGTCTTTATTTTTGGGAATGTCATCTCTAAAGATAATTTTTAAAAGACTTAAGTTTTGAATTTCTGAATAATGGCCGATTACGCATAACGGTAATATGTGAAAAATAAAATGGATAACGATCAGAACATTCGTGAGCTAATACAATATTAGGTGTACGCTCTTATAAAATATAATATTATTTTTTTAAGGTCATACATTTTTGAAGAGGTGTCACTGGACACCTACCCCTCTCAATAAAGCAAACATATCTAAAATCTAATAGAACTTTTACTATTGTACCGACCATTTGTATCCACAGTATAAATTGAAATATATTCTTTTAAAATAAAATATAAGTCGCAATTTCATTGATGCCTTGGTTATTGAGTATAATAAAATATTTTTTAAATACATTAATATTTGTATCACAGTAATGAATCTTATAAATCATTAAACAAAAATTTATTAACGGGAACAGGGTGGACCAATTTTTTTCGAACATAATAATATAAATAATTCAAATTTTACTTTTCTTAAAAACAATCATTCAATTTAAAAATATAAATTGCAATTTTTTAAAAATATGCAAGTACATTTTTTGCAAATTTCTTGTAAAAATCTATTAAGTTTCAATAAATTAGTTAAATTAGTATAATATTAATATAGACTTCAAAATTCAATCGATAAGAATTTCGTAACATTATTATTTATTTTTTTAAATTACACATTTTGTATTTATTTTTCTTTTAACTACCTGTATTCAATTTTCATTAAATTTGTATTCATATATCTAAAAATATACTAAATATTACATGGATTTTATTTTAACTATGTGTATGGGAATCAAAACATTTTAGTTTAATATCAAAATCTATTAAGTTGCTTTCCGACAAATTGATAACATATTTTTAATGTATACAATTTCGAAAAGTATTATGTAATTAATAGTGATACAATCTGAGATTCGTTGATAAGTCGCAGAAGATAAAATATTAATAAAATAAAAAAAAAAACAAAACAAAAAATAAAACTTTAATTTGAGTTAAGATTTTTACTTTTATAAACTTCTGGATATCAACTCTTAAAAGCACTTTGTAATGAATTAAATTAACACCATAGATTAAATAATAATACATACTAAAACTATTATGTATTTTTTTAAATTAATAATACAATATTGGTATTTTTCAGATACACAATTATTTCAGTCAGTACTGTTATCAATGAGTAATTTGAAACGATTAGTTTTAAAAAATATAGCTAGCGATAAAATTCTTAAAATTATTGGACAGTCGTGTTCTCAGCTAGAAATACTAGATATATCTCATTCAAGTCAAGTAACAGATAATGGTATAAAACACCTTTTACTACAAATTGAAATTAAAGATAAATCAAACAATTTCAAAAAACGTAACATTCATTCAACACCAAGATGGTGGCATGTTATAAAAACATTATCAAAGTAATTGTATACTAGTAGAATTTATTAAAATTTGTCATACAACTCTTAAATATAAATGACTTTATTGTGTTTTCAGAAAAATTAAAGTTAAGACTGGTCAACGAAATAAATTAAACGATTTATCATTTCTCCTGGAATATTGTCAAAAATCAACAAAGCTATGTTCTACATTAAATATATTAAATATTGCCAATACTAGTGTCACTAGTAATGGAATCCTAATAGCTTTACAGAATATACCAAATTTGGAAACTTTAGGTGAATATTGTCATATTGGCAAAGCTTTAGAATTATTGGATAAATCTACAATACCGTCAACTAAACTTCAACTGACAATGGCTAATGCATGTCGTACAACTTCCTCAAGACTTCAAGTACTCTGTAACACATGCACAAAACTCAATAGACTGACTATCACTGAACCATTACATTCACCACTTATGTTAAGTCAACTGCCAAAAACACTAACAATTATAAATTTACAAAATGTTCCTACTGAGCACGCATGGTTAGATGGCTTGTACACATATCTTTTGGGGCCACAATCACAAATTTTACGAGAATTATTTTTAAAATTTCGAAAAGATGAAGTTTCTCTAACAATTGACTTGAGTATTTTCTTACCTCAACTGGTCAATCTTAAAACATTATCAATTGATGGAGTTGAATCATTATATTCAAATTCATCAAATATCACGTTAAGAAAACTTGAAAAAATCCAACTCAGTAAAGTCGACCAACCAGATACTCTGCAACGGCTAATGAAATATACACCAGAACTAAAAGTATTACATGTCTATACTTGTTTGGGACTAAACAGCTTAAATTTCATGGAATTACTTAATCCTAAAGAGACGATTCCAGCAAAACAAGTTTCAAAAAGTTTAAACTGTTTGTACATTAATGATTTACCACTTGGAAATATTAACACAGTTAAACATATCATAGATTTGTGTCCAGAAATAAATAAAATTGGTAATATCAGCAATTGGGACATTAGTCAAGAAGAGATAAAAGAGTTAAATATGTGGAAACATAAAAATAATTTTAAATTAGAACTACATGCAAATTCTCATTGGTTCTGTTCAGAATGTTTTCCTATTTTATGATATTTCATAAATAACAATATAATAATTCATTAAATATTTAAATATTGTTTTATAAGTGTAGATTACATTAGATATTGTGAAAACAATTTAGTACCTAGTTAAATTGAAAGTTGCATATTACTTACTATATATATATACACTAAAGAGTAATTAATAATTAGGATTAAATATATATTTAATGATTAATACAATGAAAAATTTGTAAAAGATTTGTTAAATGTGTAACACATTATTTTAATAAATAGTAATTTTTGACTATTAATTGATATCATGTAATTATATTAAACATTGATTGTATTTACCTATATAAATATTAAATATAAATATATAATTTATATGATTTAATGTTAATAATTTCTAGCAGTGGCTAGTGGTCCAAATGCAGATACCATTTAAAAAATATATAATTGTGACTCAATTCATAAAATGTAAAAAAAAATTTTGTTAATAGGCTGGTAGATAAAAATATTAATACATAAAGCATAGTCTACATTTAATCAACAATTTTATTTTAAATAAATTATCAAAAAAAAAAAAAAATAAAAAAAAAAAATTATCTTCATGATTAAGAATAATATTTGGCTGTTTTTCAAAATATTGTGATAATGTCAGAATTTATAATCAATATACAGCTTTGAATTATTTTTAGAATTAAAAAAATGTATTGTTTAAACATATACTTAAAAAACAACAATAGATATTTAATTTTATGAAAGTAATATGTTACTGTTTTTTTTTTTTTTGTTTGATCAAAAATGTAATGTTATGAATCACCTACTAGTAGTACCTAGTACATACATCATACAGTTATCTGTTTTCTAACCTTCTTTTACCATGCAATACATCATAGTAAGTAAAAAGTATTTGCATATATGTCACGTTCTAAACAGTATCATTTTAAGTAAACAAATATTATATAATGTTGTTTTTGTGTTACACGACTAAAGTACAAAACAAACATCACCAAAACTATTTGAATAAATTGAATATCAACTTATACAATGTAACCCAATAAGGTAAGTCATATAATATAATATACAATTTATTTTACGATAGGTCATAAATATGTATTCATAAAAACCAGAAAAAATTATATACTATAGTTGTTATACTAAATGTGAAAACTGAGAAGAAGATATTATATGAGAAGTTGAGTATGAAAATTCTTCTACTAATAAAATTCCATTTTAGTTGAGAATAATATTTTCACAGTTCTTATTTTATAATATAAATACATTTTTATAAAACAAATATTTGTTTAATTATATCTGTTATAGTTTATATATAACTAATAGTATATTAATGCTAGTTCTATCAAATATAATATATACCTAAAGGTATTTTATATATTTACAAGGTTATATATTATAATAATAAAAAACCTCAATATGACCAACATTAATTGTATTATGATTTTTATTTAACATCTCCTTACTTACATAATATGTTACCTCCATCTTATAAGTGAGTTAGTATAGTAAATAAAGTATGTAAGTAGTATAGTAAATAAACATTCAATTTTATTTTAATATTTTAATTTTAAAAAGAGTTATAACTTATAAGTATGTAAAATATTATAATTTAAAAATAGTCATACCTTGATTTACAATTAAAATATTTAAAAAAATACTCCTGAAATATATTGTTACCTTTATTATTCTCATATCAAAACTAATGAAGTTAAATGAGAGCTGCTGACTAAAAGTTTGCTATGATACACACTTACAAAATGGAAACAACACAAGTTGATAAAATGTAAACTTAAAAATATTTTGGCTTATAATAGATTTATTTATAGTATATTATAAAAAATTAGAATAATAAAAGAAACATATTCAACAACAACTAAATCTATGGATTTAAAAACAATTATCTTTAAATAATATAATTTTTATTATTTTAATAATAATATTTATTTGGTAATAAGTAGAGCCCGGAATTATATGTAATTAAAAACTGTCAAATATGAATAATATGATGCAAATATGAATACAAAAAATGGTAAAATATGCAATTATATGCATGATATTATACTTAATAAAATATGTTTAAAAAAATAAAGCACCATTTTTACACTAAAAATAGTAATAATATTATATATTATATTATTTTATTGTATAATTTAAAATACACCTACTTTAAAACTCTATGAAAACCTATCAATTAACTTTCAAATAATAGAACTAAAATCACATGCTATGAATAAATATTTTAAACATTAACAATCTTAACTTTTAAATTTGTCATTATAATATTTAAAATTAAAATATAAAATACCTTTCAAGACAATTTTTAAATAACAATATTTTAACAAAACTCCATTAAGAAACAATGTCAACGGCTTTTTTTTCTACAATAAAATTGATTTAGAAATACATATTAAATATGCATGTCATATGAATTTATAAACTAATATGCAATAATCCTCCATATACGCAAAATATGCAAAGACAAATTTGTTATTTGAATTTGATGTGATATGAACAGTAGAAATTTTCAAACAGTAAGTACATACGCTATGTACAATTATGCAAATGCATATAATTTCGAACTCTGGTAATTACTAATATTTATTCAAAAGTAAATTCTTAATAGTTATCGTTTCTATTGTAAAAATTAAATATTATACTTCTATAATATTTTCATTTAATAATTTGATTAATATTTAGATATTAAAATATAATTTATTATTAGTTATTTATCATAATTTCACTAAATGTTTGCTACTTTTTTAAATGTCTTTAAAATTAAAAACAAATATGATATGATGTAAGTTGGGTGACTTCTTCAATATAACAATTCACTGCTCTATATATATTTACTAACCATAAATTCTATTGTGCTCAGCACATATTGAGTATATTTTTAAAAATAATAATTATAAATATATTTCTTCAAAATTAAAAATATTGTTCTAATTTATACTTGTTTGAAAATCATTATTTTTAAGTAAATAGGTACAATTTAATTTTAAGACTAAACAAAATATTGTTTAAACTTATATTCTCTAAAAATGTGTTTTCATATAGTAGTATTTTCAATTCAGGTAGATAATTACCTTAATTACAGTTAATTAAGTTATATATTTTTCTTTGGTGATTATTGAATATAACAGCAAACACTAAGACTATACAAACACATTTAATTAACTACAATATAGTAGACAAATTTTTTCATAAGCAAGACATTTTAATTTTTTAGTGTATGTATATTATTTGTAAAATAAAAGGATGATATTATAATGATTACAAATAGTATAATTTACAAAATTTAGGAATTTAAGATCTTTAATTCTTAGCTTACACACTTGTAATTATTTTAAATTGACATATAAATATATTATAGTAGTTTTGATAACTTAAATCTCTCTAGAAGGATAAAAATATATTTTAATAACATAGATAACATAGTTTTTAAGTTGTATAACTCAAATAAAACTTGTAAACTTCAGGGGAAAATAAATATAATGGAGATATCTAGATTTTGAGTTATGAGAATAAAATGTATAAGAATAGGTACTTAATAATTAATATCAATATAAAATTATGTACAACACACACAATGTCTCACTAACTTGAATTATTTGAAAAGTTTACTCAATAGAAGGCCATAATATCATCATAAACAATAGTATATTTTAGTTTTATTTAAAAAAAAATGTAGATCCAATTTAGGGAAATATTTGTTTAGTAATTTAGTTAAAATATTAATTTTCATACTGTATACAAATAATAAATGCATATACTAAAGCTTAGAAAGGAGTCAAGTAGAAAAATTAAAAATGTATATAGTACAATGTACGAAAACTTTATTTACAGCGATACATTTTGTATATAAATCTCTATTTAATACACTACCTGCATACCAAAATTATCAATATGATGCATATATGATATTACCTATGTACTACAGTACTACTACAGTAACCACACAAAATAATATTATTGAAATTATACCTAATACATATTTTTAAATATTTATAAGAAAATGTACTTAATTTGTTTTTAATGTTATAATACTTTACACAAACTGAATATTATGCTTAGTTTCTCACCTCACGAAATCCATGGTTTGCGAGTAAAGTTAACACCAATTTTGAGTCAACATTTAATAATTTAAATGACATGTTGACCAATTTCCAAGGGACATCATCCAATGGTTGATCCAACGCTGACGGATAAAAAACACACGTCTTGTTACCATTTGAAGAATTATTGAAAACATACTTTGTGTAATCGCTGTTATTTTTCCCTCCCTTTGTAGTGTGGTTCATTTTGCATCAAGTAAAATTACTAAATCACAATATGTACGATAATATTAATCTAAACGTTCATGATTGATTTATTAACAGTTGTGAAATAATAATTTTATCGTGGGTAACGGTGTACAAACACCATCACATTGATCTAACATGGAGACAGGTAATTCGTGTATTCTATATCTATATCTAAAAAATAATAATGTTATCATGCCTAGCATTGCCATTTGGCAATAATAATGAAAACTATGGTAATAAAAAGAAAATAATGATTTTAAAACAACAATAACCATTATCAAAAGCAGTGTTGTGTGTTTACGTTTTACAATCACTATGGTTCTTATCACGTACTATAGGATACCATATTGTAATATTACGCGATAGGTACCATGTTATACATATATTTATATACAATGAATGATGATACACGAAAATCCGTAAATTAATTTGGTTTCAATGCATTAATACATAATAACGTACACCAATATAATAGTTATACCTAGACAGTCTATAATGTATCATTTTACCATTTATATTTATAAAATTTGTATATTAGGTATTTAAGCTCTTTCATGGTCACAAGACTATGGATTTTATTTTCAAGTTGTACTAGTGTAATGAACTAATGAGTAATTTTTAATTTTTATTGAAGTAAAGTGATTTATCATCGTATGTTTTACTAAATACTAATTTATTAAAAAATAAAAATAAATGGGACCTAATCTATGAATGCATTTTCATTCAATGTAAAACGTTTTTTTTTCGCAACAATATTTTGAAACGATATTTTAATGACATTTATTTATCTATCAGAATTACCGTTCTGAAACCCAAGTTCTGAGAAAATGCATCTGATAAACGACGTACGGCTGCTAATAATGAACAACTATTTATTTAGCTGCCATCTGACAATAAAATTCCTATAAATTTGTTATTGGATGAGATGTAGGGAAATTGTGAATAGCCTTGATGTAACGCATATATTTTAGATTTCAATACATCATACTTTACACTCACACAGACACAAGTTTCGATTATTATTATTAGAGCTAGGATTTAAATGACCTAAAAAATACACTTAAATGCACTAAAAAAATATGCAAAAATGACCTAAAAACTGTAAAAAATGAACTTAAAAAATGTACTTTGATGAATGAAAAAAAATTAATTTTAAACTAATAATAATTATTAATTATTATTTATTCATTTTGTATATTATAAAAAATTTGTTAAAAGAAGTAAATTAAACAAATATATTCAAATTTTAGTTGACAATTAACTATATTATTTTTCGAATACCAATGGATTGAAATAAGTAATTGGGATTACCTATAAAATGCTATTAACGCACATTAAAAAAAAAAAGCTTATAATAAACAAAAAATGAGTTTAATGTGTTTAAATACATAAAATTAGCGTAATTCTGTAAAAATGACCTTAAAAATGCAATAAAATGCATTTAACACTAAAAATGCGAAAAAACGCAAAATAAAAATTACTCATTCTAAACTGTTATGGAACGAAACAAAATTAGATTTTGGTTAGAACTACATAGCATTTAAAGAAAAAAATGCAAAAGTCATCAAAATCCTAACTCTAATTATTACGAATATTTATTTGATTTGCATTGAATTAATCATATCGTTTTCATTGATATGTCAGCCATTTCAGCAACCAATAACCAAAGTTCCTTTCTCCTATAGTAACACCGTGATAAAGTTATGTAGCTGAATCAATTTGAAACGAGTAATGAGTAAACTTTTGAACTTTATTAATACATTTCATACCAAAATATAAAAATGTATTTTCAATTAATTCAATTTAAAATAAAATGGGTATTATCGTTGAAAATTGAGCTCCGTGTTTCAATGAACTACTAGCGGCAAGCACCAAGCACACTTCTAGTGTCGAGCGATATCCACTCTCCTGATAGGTACTGCAATGATATTATATTAATAAAGTAATATAAATACTAGTAGGTATTTATATTAAAATATTAAAAAAAATATGTCTTAAATTATACTAAAAAAGGTAAAATATGCATGATGAAAATTGTAAAATAATATGAGTGAAAAATTATTAAATATGCAAAAAAATTACAAAAAAGAAAAATTTATTGTTATTCTAAATATGAACAACAACTTTACTAACGAATAAATAATAAATATAATATATTTACAATAAGTTAAGTCGATAACTTCGATAATACTTCGGTATATTAGCGCGATAGAGATTAAAATTTGTGCATCATCCCATAATCGTTAGATTAATATTTGACTGCAGTGACAATACATATAAAATAGTATTGAATTATATATTTAATATTGTTTAAAAGACATATGTTAAAAATAAAAAAATCAATTTTTTTAGTAAATATTTAATATGCATAATATGCGTATGAAAGTTTATGAAATATGTACTTTTCCCCTTAAATTAACAAAATATACAAAATATATACATTTTAAATTTTCGATTTTTAAGCTCACTATTGTATAAATTGGATTTCTAGCTTGGTGCCTTGGTTTAGGTACTATAAATAGAGAGTAGGTGTAATAGAGCGTATAGAACAATAATATGCAATTCCTACAACTTCAAAGTTCTATTGTGATGACTGATGAGTAATAACTAATGGATCATAATATTAGCTTTAATAATAAAATAGTTTTAAAACAATTTTAAAAATTAGCTAAACAATTTTAGTGCCTACCTTTTATTTTATTTTACATTTTATCTCTACTTCTATGGGCTCTATCGCTTTATGACTATATAATATTTTTATATATTTAATTTCTAGAAACGTTTGCTGTATCGTTTAAACTTCTCATCTCCCTTCGCATTTCCATCGCAGCACATTGAATGTACACCTCTGTATAGTTTTCTTTCTTATTATTTCTATAGTAGCCAGTGACCAGTAGGTAAGTTTAATAGTGGTTATATATAGTGTATATTATGATTTATGATAGTGTTTATATATTGAAAAACAATATTGTTATGCACTTATGTCGAATGTCGATGTATGTAGGTACGTAGGTGTACAACGTAGAATACAGAATGTAGGCGAAACTTTTCAGCATGCTACGGAGTATATGAGTAAGACGTGTTCCACTCAAAATATTAAAACAAAATAATGCGGAAATATTTATTAAATGTATATAATACATAATAATCTACAACACGTTTAATATTTAAGTCCATAATCTAAGTAAAAGAAAAATTACAGTTTTCAACAATAGTGAATGTATTTTTTTATTAGATACCTATTCGCATTTTTATATGAAATTAACCAGCACGTCTCGATCTGTAATAATCGACATGACACGGCGTATAGACTATCTCAGTATGCAATAGCATATAAATGATTTGCACACTATGAACCATACATATTTTTATCGCGTTGTTGGTCACTATTACGATTATAAGTTTTTAAAAACGGTCATTGGAACGACACCGGCTCAACTGTTGTAGATATAATGACGACGGGCGTCAAACTTCACGTATATGAAATACATAGTTTAAAAATATAAATATACTACAATAATAATATTTTTATTTGATTTTTCGCTTCTTTTATAACTGGACAAGACCACTTTTGTAGATACTAATAAATTAAAAAAAATTAATTTCGAACCTAAAATAAAAAGTATAATCGAGTTTAAAAACATTTATTTTGAGCGACGTCAAAACAAAACAATTTTGTAAAAGGCAATATTAATTTAGAATCACTGATGCAATAATAATACATGAGACCTGTATTATAACATTTTATTAAATCGTTAAAATGTTTGAGGTTTGAGTAGCCACTAAGGCTTGAAGAAATGAGAAGGAAACAATTTTTAGTTTCAGTATTTGATGTGGGGTGTTAGTCTATACCTATGTAATTTGCGCAAAAAAAAATTAATTTTTGTAATTTTCGCCATATTAAATCAGATAATAAGGGCATTATGTAATCTATGCAATCTTATACCTACTAAAATTTTTAGTAATATGTGCATTATAAAACATCCCTTATAAATTCCTTGTAAATAATTTAACAATTATTCAATCAAGTTCTTTTTAACAGATATACTCAAAATAAATAAATAAATAAATGTGTATAGAGAAAAATAAAAATATTGAATAATTAGTGTATAATTGTATAAATGAGTTATAAAATATGTGAAAATCAAGAATATCATAATTAATTGTCCAATTGTTCATATTATTAATAAATAATAGGTAGTTGATGTTATTTATTAACATTTTATGTGTCTAAAACAAATACATTTAATAAAATTAATTAACACTTGTAGTGCAAGTTTTGACAGTACAAAATTATTATGTTGATCACATTTTAAATTCATGAATTTTCTGATCATGAAAAATTTGAAAATAATAATAGATCTTTGTTTCTGGTACTTTAGTTACTTACCAGGGACATACATAGAAAACATTTTGACGAGTGTTTTTGAAAATCAAAAAATAGAACTATTTTAATAAATATAGGAAATACTTAATAGGAAATATTCCAATACGCAATAGGTATAATTTTATTTTATTTCTAAACCCTGTTTAAGTATTTTTATTATTTTTCAAATTACATTAAAATTTTAATTTGTTGGTATTAAATTTTTATTTTGCTTTAGCCGATTTTTCACAAACACAATGTAATATTATACATGTCTAAAAGTATAATATAACAATTAACATTCAAATTGAATATGTAAATAATCATAAAAATAACCAAATATTTTGGGGGGTGTTTGAACACTTAAGACACCCCTCTGTGTACATCCCTGTTACTTACATAAAAAAATTTTAATTTTCTCATGAAATGTGAACACACGCCAAAGACGCAATTAATAGCGGATTAACTTCAAATAACACGATACTGCTGTCCAATTGTTCGATATATTTTGAAAATTTTTTTTTTTTTTTTTTTAGCTTTTATAGCCTTCGCTGCTTCCACAATTTCTTGCCACTTCTCTCTATTTTCACTTCCTTCATTAATTTTGAAAATTAATTGATAATTTTTTATA